CATGGGGCCACCACAAGTCCACCACAAGCAAACTCTACAGACGGCATGTTCCGCTCCTTATCTTCTTAAGGCAAGTAAATCCATTCAATCTCTCTCTTCGTGACTCTCACGTCCACAGAAAAAGCAACACAAAATCGAACAAATGAGGGGAAATGTACCGTTCTGATTGGCTCGATATGGCCTCATACACCTTCTGGCTGTACGTATTCGGATTTGATAAAACCTAACAATTTCTCCGTTCTTTTTTTGGACCTGCGAGGTTTCAGGGAGGCAGAGACTGATTGTCAACTGACGACGGAGTAATATGTGGTGTCGGTCAGCACTGAAAGTTTATTTTGTTTTTTTTTTCCCTCGCGGTGAATTGCCATGTACGGATTGCTGTGCATGTATGAAATCGCTCGACGTCGCTTGAGTGTACTCTGGAGAGACTGCTCGTATGTACAGTGGGTAGAGAGACTAAGGGAAGTGGGCAGGCCAGCGGGTAGACCGTCCGGTCTTTAGTACTACATAGTAAACAGTCCGGTTCTTTCTTATTTTGCTTTTACATACTAGTAAGTTACCTACTGAGTACAGACAAGTATATCAACCTCTTCCCTCAAAAGTAGATATGTACGTACGTATATGCACAATCAAAGTAGCAAATTAATCAGACAAACTAAGCTTTTAATCGTTACACTGCCTTTCCACCCCCATACCTAAACACTATTCCGGTAGTTTACTAGTAGGACCATGTGCTCAACGTCGCACAAACACCTCTCGAACCAAACACTAACCGACTAACTAGCCCAAGAAACCATGCATACCAATCTGATCTCAACAACTCACTAGTATCTAGCCGTACTACTCGACTAGAACGTGCATCGAGACGTGCTCTACTACTTTTCAGGACTGTGTCGAAAGTATCTAGGTACAGGTGATACTTGAAATTTCCATGCATGTTCTTCGTGCGTTCTAGGATATATATATATATATATATGTATACATTCGAGTTTGTACATCGAAGTGTACCTACGTATAGAACTAGTCGAGTGGTACAGACTATATATAAGCCACCTAATTTCTAGATACATGATTAACGTCAACTACCGGACTCGCTTCATGTTATACCTAGGTAGTGCCTGCTAGTGTTCGTGACTGTGCATGTTTGGTATTCTCGAAAGCTGGAACACCAAAGCCACCTGCAGCACAGTCAACTAGCTGTTCACTTGCCCATGTCCACCTGCTAGGCCTAGCTAATATTAGCATTATAGCTTAAATTTCAACGTTGGAATGCTTGGACTACGTCTAGCACTTGAACTAACATCTAGTGAGCATCCACTACCCTCAACTGAAGTACACACTACGTTTCAGATCGCTTTAGAGCTAGAGTAGCTGATAAGTATTACTTGCATTGTGMAAATCTAAATTAACAAGCCGATCGGCAAAAACCGCATGTGCTATAACAGAAAGCAGTCAGTCTATCATAAACAAAATAACCCTGCAAAACGCCTTTTTCCGAATAACGTTCGGTCGAATAGTGTCGATAATCTTTTACGTTGGAAGGATAATACGGAAGCAACTCGTCTACCAGCGTCGGTTGTTTCCAAGAGGAGCCGAGTTGGAAGCAGTGTAACCACCACCGCCGCCGCCGCCGCCGCCACGGTGCCAGCCACCACGACCACGGCCACCTCCCCAACCTCGGCCACCACCGCCGCCACCGCTGTAGCGAACCATCTCCTGCAGACGAGGATCGATCTGCTGCTTGGCCTCGCTAAGGATGGTGACGAGATCACGAGCCTGCTTGGAGTCTGGAAGAAGTTAGCATGCTATAAAGGAAAGGGGTTGATAAGAAAGGAACTCACTGTCAGTGGTAAAGAACGTAATGGCCGTTCCCTTTGCACCGGCACGGCCAGTACGACCAATACGGTGAACATAGTCCTCCGAGTTGTTGGGGTAGTCATAGTTAATCACATGAGTGATATCACGAACATCTTAAGAATTACACAGGTTAGCAAACAACGCAGTCATTTCAAGCGGCATGACCTCTGGACCCTGGTCAGTCGCGCGAAGACTAAGACTTGATGCACTCCTCTCTTGGATCGTCACCAAGTTAATTCAGTAAGCCCATGGGCTGGCAATGTTCACGGTCCTGAGTGACCTTGGATATGATGCAGCTTCACCGAGATTCGATAAAACTTTCCGCAACTCTAAAAATATCCCGGAGATGAATAAAGAGCCTGGAAAGCAAATGAGCAAATCCGCTAAACTGCACTGTGAGTCCAAGGTCCTCCTGGCTGGAGCCAGTAAGGTCGAACCCGAAAAAGCCTGGACTGGTCATGTCGACCAACATGTCTGAAGAGAGAAAAGGCACCGTGCCATATGTCACACGACGTCACTACGGGTTAGAACTCGACAGAGTCGAGCATATCAAATCTGCCAACGGCAGAACAGAGGAAGACAGGAAGGGAAGGGGAGTTAGGTTGTAATCATACCAATACCACGGGAAGCCACGTCAGTAGCGACCATAATGGGACTTTTTCCGTTTTTGAATTCTTGCAAGACCCAGTCACGTTCGTTTTGCTGTTTGTCACCGTGGATAGCTGTTCAAGATTAGTAAAAGGTCATTTGTACATAACGAATAGAACTTACACAATGCTGGCCATCCATCCTGGCGCAAGAAGCGAGTGATTTCATCGGCAACACGCTTGGTGGCAGTGAAGATAAGACACTTGTTCTTGCGGTCGTCCATGATCTTCTCGAGATGCTTGATCATCTTGTCGCGCTTTTCAAAGTCTGAAACAACCTCGACGATCTGTGTGATACGGTGGTTGGCGGAGAGTTCCATGGAACCGATGTTGACTTGGATAAAATCGTTCAAAAAGTCGCTGGCGAGTTGACGGACTTCCTTGGGCCATGTGGCGGACCACATGCAAGTCTGTCGGTCAGGGCGAATCTGGCCAATAATTTTGCGAATTTGAGGCTCGAAACCCATATCAAGCATACGATCTGCCTCATCCAAAACAAGGTAGGTGACACGACGAAGGTTGGTCTTGCCAGCTTCAAGCATGTCAATCAAACGACCGGGAGTGGCAATGCAGACCTCTACTCCACGGCTGAGATCACGAATTTGAGGTCCCTTGGGAACACCACCGTAAACACAAGTGTTGCGAATGCGAGATGAGCGTCCGAATTTGCTGATTTCGGTCTGAATCTGAACGGCCAACTCACGAGTGGGGGCTAGGATGAGGACAATGGGACCGTCACCGGGCGAAAGAAGGGGCTGTGCGTTGATGTGAACGATAGCAGGAAGACAGTATGTCAAGGTCTTTCCAGATCCAGTTTCGGCGATACCAACAACATCGCGACCTGAAAGAGCCATGGGCCATCCTTGAGACTGGATAGCGGTGGGCTTTGCGAAGCCTTGTGCCTTGACCTCAGACAAGACGTAGTTAGGGAAACCAGCCTCATCGAAAGACTCAACTGGGCGAGGAACGTTCCTGCCGGTGACAGCCATCTGGTGTTCTTTGCGGAAAGCATCGATTTCCTTCTGGGAACGGTTTGTAACATCTTCGTGCTCTTTGTAGAAGGATTTCTCGAATTTGGGGAGAGTGGAAAGATCTGAGTAGAACGGGTTAGCATGATGCATTCGATTAATATCTGGTACTGTAAACTCACCCCAGTCTTGAGTTTTCAAGCCAGCGCCGAGTGCGGCCATACGATCACCACCACCGCTGCCGCCATAGCTACCTCCACCGTAGCCGCCGTTACTGTAGCCGTTGGAACCGCCATGGCCGCCGTTAGAGTAGCCACCGCTGCCGCCACCTCGTCCTCCTCTGCAATGGTGTTAGTGTTATTCAACAATGTCGAGAAACTAGTTCTCGAGTCTGAACGAGAAGACTTTAATACATACCGGTAACCACCACCACCTCCTCCATAAGATTCACGGGAGCCACCTCCGTAGCCACCGCTGCCGCCGCCACGATAAGACATGATTAGGCTGATGTGTCTGGTAAACCTGGGAAATGTGGATTTGGCGAAAGAAAACAGTCAGTCGTGAGATCTCGCGGGAGATACCAATACTGAGATTTTTTTTAATGAAAGAAGAGATGAAACGACAAAGACAAGGAAGGAATGAGGAAGAAAGAGTTAGCGTTGAGAGACAAAAATTTTGCAAGGAAGAGTTCAAATCTTTTAAGTAGGGGAAGGGGCGGGCGGCAAAAACTCAGCACTAGCGCCAGGCGGTAGTACGGTTCCGACAGAACAGGCTAGCGTGCTGGAATATAAACCAATCAGGCACAACGAAGATAAAAATTCAATTTTTGCAGAGATTGTTTGCTGTTTGGGCGTTTGATGGATTACGGCCGGATCTGAGAAATAGAGAATGAGCCAGGTATGGGAGCTAACTCCTACGAGAAGAAGCACCCTTTATTGAGTCAAGTCAAGCAGATCAGATTGATGTGAAGAGGTCAACTACATAGTACACATTGAAAGACTTGTGGCTGTACATTACATAAGCAGAACGGATAATTCACGGAGTTACTTGCCCTTTTGGAAATTTTCTGTACTCTGTACCTGAGCTACACGTTCGCTCCTACCTCGATCAGTCGGAGAACTTCTCTCGACCATTTCGCACTCAGGCTTGTTATTGCCTAGTGTATCTCTTCAACATTGTCTATCTTATTTTTGTTTATTCTTGTACCGAAATCGACTTCTTTTGTCTATGCGCGACTTGTTTTCTGGTTGTCCCTTTCTCAGGCCCATTTGCCGCTCCGATTTCTCGACGAATTTCTTGACCAGCGACCAACTTCTATTACCTGATCATCTGCCATTCCGCTGAAATTTACTTTGCGAACAGTTCGTCCTCCTCGAGCCACACGAGTCCGTTCGTACAACATTGTTGAGATTTCCGATTGTCTTCTAACATTCACATTGCTTGGAGCTGCATCGCTATAAAACAAATTTCATCGCTCGTGGAGTCCGGCTTCCTAGTACCTCAGTACCGACCGTCTATGCATGGTGCAATGCTCCGCTGTAGCAATGGGTTCTTACAGAACCTAGGTGCTGGTGCGCGTTTAGGCAGGCGATTTCAAACTGATACATTATCGAGACTCGGTGCCTCATCACATGCCGGGTTCAGCTTTGCTAGAAGCAACTCATCTTTCGCTTCGCAATCACGGCCTCCGCGTGCTCAGTATGAAGAAATTTTCGATTCCATTGACGGTGCACCATCCAGAGTTAAATTGGCCCGCAATGCACCCAGAACATCGGTTCGCAATGCGCGGCTAGGGGACACCCAGAACTTTAACCGCCATCTAAAAGAAAAACAAAGAAGAGACGTCTCTGGAAATAAAGAGGAAGTTGATATGCTTATGGAACTTGCCAAAGGAAAAGGCCTTCCTAACGGGGTCAACTCGTCTGTTGTTACTAGAGAACTGCAATGGTTACAGGATCCGAAAGAGTTCGGAATACGAATTGCTAGACTTTTACAGACAAACAAAGTTCCGTTAGCTGTTGCAATGATAAGACGAGCGGAGTCTATGAAGATGGATATTTCCACAGCTTGGAACAGGCTTTTGGGGCATTGCTTTGAAAGAGGCGCGCCGCTAGCGGCTTTCCGGTTCTATAATGATGTAAGGATCTTATTGACACTCTTCGCTGTGGATGTTATCTGACTTTTCCGTAGATGAAGAAAAGGGCGCGAGCCCCGACTGCCCATACATACACTATCATGCTGAGAGGTCTATGTCGAAAGTCTCTACAATCTGGCGTGAAGCCGGTCGACCTTGCGTACAAGATATATAGGCAATTGCTGGATAATGACTCGGAGGTCAGACCCAATCACTTTCATTATCATGCCATGCTCGAAGTCTGTGGGACATATCACGACATGGATATGTTATGGACTGTTGTTGGAGATCTTCCTGAGCTTGGTCCCCATCGGCCTACAGCACAAACATACACTCTTATACTGCAAGCTATTCTTGGCACTCTCGATCACAGCCTCAAAGATATACCCGAGGATCAAATGGCGCTGAGAAAAGAGAAACGCGATACGCTAATTCTCGATGCAAAGCGAATCTGGGCAGATGTCATAAACCAGTGGCGCAAGGGCGAGCTGGAGATTGATGGACCTCTGGTTGCAAAAATGGCTTGGGTTCTCATAGATCCCATGGATGAGACCAATTCGTACAATGCCCTTGCATTGTTCAAACAAACAATGGGTATTCCTATCCTTGTTCCTGACCCCAAAGCTGCGTCATCGCAAGCCTCCGAACAGGGGGAATGGGAGGCCAACTTGCGTCTCAAAAAGGGACGAGAAGGGCCTGAAGAGGAAATAACTTACACAGCCTGGAAACCCTTAAAACCCAAGGACGAAGAGATGGAGGAGCTAGAAGACGACTTGATTGTGAAGGAAGAAGGACAGGACACAGAAGATCTCGTGGAAGATCTTGGAGATGTCTTTGACCCTGTGGAGGAAGTCAACAAAGAAGGCGGGCCCTTGTTTGTGAAGCCAGATAACATGCATCTTCACATTATTTTAACAGTGTGCCGGATCTTGACCAAAGGCACGGCCCCAGGGAGGGGTTATTGGAACCTTTTCACTCTGGACCACAACGGTTATAACGTCAAACCCGATCCAGGCAATTTTTATGCGTACCTGCGGCTTCTTCGAATATCTCGATCCAGCCAGACTGCTCTTGACGTAGTTCGCCAGCAACTCATTCCTACGGGCGCACTGGATGGCAAGGCGCTACATATAGCCATGAGTTGCTGTCTCCGCGATCGAACCAACCCCAATGTGCTCCTCATTGCACAAAGTTTCCTGTCTCTCATGCAAGAACACCTTCCTTTGCCTGACCCTAGACCACTGATCAGTTTTATCGAGCTTGCAAACGTGCTGACCGAAAACCCGCAATGGCTTCTTGTACTCCGAGGACTAGAGGAAATTGATCCTAACGAGACAAATCTCACCATCATGGGCCGCAATATGAGATGGGCACTCCAAAAGAGCGTCATTGCGAGCCTTGAGCCACATGTCAACAGACTCTATGAATCCATGGAGAGAGCGCTACAGTCGCCAGTGAAATTCTACTCCTTGGGGCCTAATAAGGATCCAGACGCTGTGAATGGCCATCATGCGCTTCAATTCATGGTCAAGTTCCGTGAGCTACTGGACAAAGTGCTTGGAACTCAATATGCCAATGTGATGACCAAGTCAGATCGCGCCCGTATTCAACCGTTGGCGATTAAACTCAGGAAGTTCTCGAACCCGGAAATTATGGCGAAGATTGAAGAATCTATCGTTATACGTCCGATGAGTCATCATTATTCGCACGACTGAGTTGAGGAAGTTTGGAGATGTTTACTATTCGCGTTTTTTGTAACTTTCTTGCCTGTATTATACATTCCTCTCTTGTACTTACTGCATTTCCCACAATCTGCATGACATGGCGTTCTATTTTGGGATTGGTGGCATGGACTTTGACTACATATTTGCACAATACATATCATCTTCCAAATTGGATTAAGTACCTGTTGATAGACTGATAGCGGCTAAGTACGTAAGCGCGCGGGTCAGACGGGACGGGCCAGAAATGCCACTCTAGCTTCTCCTTGTCCTCGTTCAATCAGACAACAACCAATGCGTTGATTGCCCTACGAATTAAATCGCTTGTCTGATCTATCACATTAGTAGATACAGACACCTTGTCTTGTATCTTTTCGACAGACACTTGGCCTCCAATATTGAACCTATAAGCTTTCTCAACTTCAAAATCCAAGCTCGATAGCTGGTTGCCTGCGGGCCAAACACCACTGCGACAGAACAAGATGGCGTCACCCTCACATTATAGCATTGAAGATGATGACGACCTTCTGGACAACGACCTGATTGACGCGGATGATGGTTCGCTCACTCTTCTGCAGTGATAGTGCTGAATGAATGATACTGATACGTTACGCAATTCCATAGCTGCCATCGAAGCCGACGATCCCTTAAACACATCTGACACAACACCTCTACGAGGGAACATCAATTCAGACGCAAATGCAGGCTCTTCCTCATCACGGAGCGCCGGCGGACTCGGCGGACTATCCTCAAATTACCTCACATCCTCCATACCGGGCGAAGATCGTCGCGCGCCGCAAAATACCATTGACGAAACTGTATGGGAAACACTATCTCGCGATCTATTGGCAGTATGGGAGAAAATGAGACAGGTCCTTTGGCCCAAGTATTTGCTTGGCGGTCTTTTGGTGCGCAGTGGTGGTGGCATTGGAGGTGCTGCGGAGCGAGGAGAGGCATCGACTGGCGCTGCTGGATTTGGTCGGAATTTGCGCGGTTTGGTGGGAAGATGGCCTGATGCCGATGTTGTGCTTCAGAGTGGAATGAGTGAGGGCTTGCGGGATTGGGATTTATGGTATATCTTTACCTTTATTTACCTCGAACATAACGATGACTGACATTTGTGTTCTACAGGGGCCCTCTTATCTTCTGCTTACTTCTTAGCATGTTCCTTTCCATGCGAGCTCATGACGAACAAGCGTCCCTTGTCTTCTCGGGTGTTTTTTCTATCGTCTGGATTGGAGAGGCCATTGTCACTTTGCAAATCAAGCTGCTTGGAGGGAATATGTAAGTCTTTTCTGTGACAAACCTTAAGGTAAAGAGTTTAAGCTAATTCGTTTACACAGCTCATTCTTCCAATCCGTGTGCATCATCGGATACACCTTGTTCCCTCTAGTCATTGCTGCACTCTTGAGTGCATTGGGTCTACCGATGATTGTGCGAATTCCAGTTTATCTCGTCCTGATCGCTTGGTCTCTTGCCGCCGGAGTCAGTATCCTTGGTGGCTCGGGTGTGCTTCGCAATCGCGTGGGTATCGCTGTTTACCCATTGCTCGTCTTTTACGTTTCGATCGGCTGCCTCTGCTTTATTAGTTAGATAAGTGCCTCTTCTTTGCCGGATTATGTATCAATCTCTTGACGTGATTCATCTTCTTTGCCTACAGCTCTTTACTGAGCGACGACCTTTGAATGGACCTGTTATCTGTCCTGTTTATATGTTTGTATCCTATCCCTCTTATATCATGTATCATGTACAAGTAGTTTCAACGAGGATTGTTCTATACCAAGTCTAGTATCAGCTACATACACCTAGGTATGACCTGTATTGTTGTCATGTCGTTGCCGTGGGGCATGCAGCGGCATTAGTTAGCGTCCGTCACACATCAACAACCAGCGGAGCACAACTCATGGACAACAATCCACCAGCTTCACCTTCGTGATACAATTACCTACACCGATCATCCCTTCTCTGCCATCGACTCTCCTTAAGTCTTCGATCGAATCTGCCACTTCGCCAAAACTTAAAGAACTACCTTTCTTTGCCGACCGGTTTCCTCCTACGAAGAAAGCGATTGTCTGTCGGCGTCTGACCGAGTCACGAAGCAAAGACAATAACAATTCTTCGATTCGCCCGGTCGGCTTTCTTTTGCGCCCAGCGAGGGGTACCTTATTCAAGAATCACAATTGAAATTGGATACGCTCAACATAGGTCAATACAAACGGTGCTTATTCGTTTGAAGCGAGAAAAGGACGCCGAATCGGCGATTATCTTTCTTTTTTCTCTCTTATTTGTTGGTGCTATCTACAACTTCAGTTCTACCTAGGCTTCTTCACAGTCGGTTGCTCGGGATCGTACCACGATAAGCACAGGCGACATTATCGTTGAATTGCTCGGTTTTTGCTGTAGTCTTGAATCTCTTTTCTTCATTGCATCCCACACGGTATCTTTTTTGGTTACGTACTGAGTGGAATATACCCGAAAGAGGGGAACTGAAGAGCGTACTGGTAGGGAAAACCCCTCGCGTCAATCCATCAATCACCCAGTGCTAGTGATTCTAACATACGGTCAAAAATAGCTCGAGCGACGAATTAACGATACCGTGAGAATCGTTACTTTCTTCTTGACTTCTTTTTCGGTCGCTTTTACTCTGCCCCAACTGTAATTTACCCTTTACTCGCCTACCCTGGACACGATGTCTACCGCCTCGGAAGAGAAGAACATCCCCGCTGCACCTCACAGTGATGTCGATCTCATCAAGGAAGACGCGGTTACCGCCTCCGATAATGATGCCGCAGAACCCGAGCGCCCCGTGCGAAGAAAGCTCCAAGAAACGCGGATAACGTCAGAAGGAAACCCTTCGATTCCAGATGATGACGAAATTGACGATCGCGGCCGTCTAAAGAAGAGGTCCCACGATGACTTACAAGCTGAGGAAGGCACAGCAGAACAACAAACCGATAGTGGTCACCGCAGGAAGAGGTCGCGTGATGCGAACGATGATGATGACTCGACAAAAATCGATGTTGACCGAATAACTACCCCAGAGCCGACCACGAACAAGGACGACCCATCGGCGCATATACTCAGTCCGAAGAAGAAGAGAAGCCTTGATCAATTACAAGAAAACGGTTCCAGCGTACGAAGCGAAGCGAAGGCAAGCATCCAAGAGACCGAAAAAGAGCGTGAGACGAAGAGACATCGCGACGCTTCACAGGACAGGCAAATCGCTGCTGATGGTGGCGCAGCCCCGGCCAAGGTAATTATATGTCCTTTGCAATCAATTATACCATATTTACTGAACTATTATAATAGTCATCTTTACCAAAGAGCTTCCTAAACACTTCCGCCGTTTCGCCCTTTGCGTCACTAGGCTCCAAGTCATCTGAGAGTGACGACGCCAAATCACAAACCACATCTTCCTCCGCATTCGCTGCCTCCGGTCTAGCATCATTCGCAAGTTCAGAGCAGTCGCCTTTTGGGACCTTGGGAGGTTCAACGCCGACATCGTCAGTCTTTGGCAAATCGACTACTACGACAACATCAACAGAAAAGCCTGTGGGGACCGGTTTCAGCCTAACGTCGTCTTCTGCCGCTTCTCCATTTGCCAATACAGGCGCTTCTGGATTCGCATCTCTAGGCGGCTCTGGATTTGGACGCGGCTTTGGTAGTGGGGGATTTGGAGGCAGATCAACGAAACTAAGCAGCTTTGCATCTGCTACAGGATCAGGTTTGGGGGGTAAATCGACAGCAAAACCATTTGGCGCCGAGGGAGACGAGGAGGACGAGGATGAGGAAGAAGAGGGTAATGTGATCACGGCCGGTTTTGAGAAGGAGAAGGAAGACGAACGATTTTATGCACAGCAAAGTTTGTATACATGTTGCAATAAAACGCGAGTAGTTATGCTAATGAGTTGAATAGTCGAGACCGGTGAAGAAGAAGAAAAGACATACTTCTCCTGCAAAGCCAAATTATTCCACTTCACGAACAAAGAATGGAAAGAGCGAGGTGTGGGCACATTCAAGGTCAATGTCAAAGAGCCTCCAAGCGATGCCGATGACGAGACACCGACGAAGAAAAATGCGCGTATGATCATGCGCGCCGACGGCGTTTTGCGTGTGATGCTCAATTCGCCCATCTTCAAGGGTATGCCAGTGGGAGAAGTCTCAGGAGAAGAGCCCAAGGGGAAGCAGTTGAATTTGGCAAGTGTAGAAGATGGTAAAACAGTGCCATTGCTCCTTAGGGTAAGTTTTGCCTCCTCTCTATAATATCAGCTTTCGTATTGTCAGTCACTAACTTTTATTGAAAAAGGTCGGCAACGCAGATTCTGCAAAGGAATTATACCACGTGATAAAAGACCTCCAGGAGGATTTATGAACAAATGAACATGACGAAGAAAGGGCCTTTCCTGCATATATCGACCGACAGAAATAGAACAGCCATCAGAGTCATTCCTCTTATACAGATTCTTCCTCCTCCTTCATTTCGTTTTATTTATAATTTTACGATAAATAAGAGACGGCTTTTATTAATTCTGATTCTGGGATCGTCGTATCATGGTGTCAATGTCTGCATGGGCGAATATACCCAAAGCATTTGGTGGAAGCTATTCTTGGGAATCTTCCTTTGGGGTTGGTTTTGTTTCTTTTTAGTCATTCGGCAAATTACCATTTACTTCTTGTGTAACGATTACCTCTTCCATGATCCATCGTAATAGAAGATAAAGATTTACAATGTAAAGACCTAGGTATAAACACGCTGCACAGATCCTCCATTCATCAGTCTATCCCAACATATTTACATCTATTCACTCCCCCATCCCCATGTCCCAAAACCCAATCTCCAACTCAGTCGCTCTCTTGAAGATTCCTACCAACTCTTCCACTCTACTCGGCGAAACCTGATGCATATGTTCCTCCAGTAATGCTATCACACAAGTCAGCCTTAAAATGACCTTCCTTTCGTATACAGAGAGAGGGAGGGAGTACTCACCAGACCCAGTCTTAACAGCAGTCACATAATCCTCCGCCACATAATTCTCAATCCACTTCCAATATCTATTATTCTCTTCCCCCTGCACGGTATGATCGGCATCGTCGTAGAGACGACGCGCAATTGCGCCGTAGCCGATTAGGCATGGTGCCAGAGCCATTTGGAGAGCTAGCCAGTCTTCGGACTGGCCTATGTCGAGGATGTAGCGGCTATAGGCGACGCATGCTGTTCCCCCGAGAATCGTTAGTGAGTTCTCAAATTAAAGATGGGGAGGAGGAGTGAGGACCTTGTTTTTCGGGGGTGGCTTCCATTTCTTCGCGGGTTAAGCCGAAGCTGGCGCAGTAGTCGATGTGGAGGGCTGTTTCGGTGTTGATGTGTAGAACTATTCTCGCTGACTGAGCATAGGATCAGTTCTGACTTCAGGTTTTGTTAAAAGAAGCAAAGTGGCTTACGGCAGCTATGGATTTCATGGTGCGAGCTTTGTAGGAAGCGAGGGCATTGCTTCTTGCGAAATGGATCTGTATTGATGTGAGAGGATTTGATCTATGATCTAGACAGAATTGTAGTCATGAAGACATACCAAGTAGAGGTAATCCTGTACAAGATAATCCTTGAAGTTCTTCAAAGGAAGGCTCCCATCTCCCAATCCTTGCACAAAGGGATGATGCGTAAACCTGTGCCAAATGGGTCTCATATCCGGCCTGTTGAGGACATAGTCGACGAATTGACCACTCGAAAACCGTCAGAACCAATGCCATTATTAGGTCATGGTAAACAGAGGCAGGTAGACTCACGGTGCAAAAGGCATACTATATAGCGAATGAAAGTGATTGATCGGCCCACTCCCCTGACCCATATCAACACTGAGTTTGATCCCAGCTTCGACGTACTTTATCGCCGAACGGACTGACGTCTTCAGATCATTTCCCTTTGCGAGATTCGCAGCTATTGCCGACGCAAGCGAACATCCTGTGCCGTGTGTATTCTTCGATCTCAAATACTCTGTTTCTGTTAACATCACCACCTCCTCATTTACATCGTCACCAGCAGAATACAAAACATCAATCACAATCCTTGCCTCCTCAGTCGAATTCGCTCGCACCCGCTTAGATGTAAACGGTAAATGACCCCCCTTCAGCAAGACGGCTTTTGATCCGAGCCCCTGCACTCTTTTGGCAAGTTCGATCATTTCATCTACATTCTGTGGTTCATTGACTGGTGAATGGCCCGCATTTTCGAGCAGAAGTTTGGCTTCGGGGATGTTGGGGGTTAGAACTGTGGTTAGTGGCAGGAGGTTTGTGCGGACGTGTTGAATTGCGTCTTGCGGGAGAAGTTGAGAGCCAGATGTTGATATCATTACCTTTTCTGTGTTAGATTATATCTTTGATTTCTGGGAGATAGGAGAATGAAGTATACCGGATCGAGAACAACAGTCTTGACCACATGTTTCTTCAATTCCTCTGCAATTACATCTACCGTCTCTGCGGACGATAGCATTCCTAGTATAACAAGTCAGTCCATCAATCATCCAGAAAGACAGACAGATACAAAATTAAATACCAAGTTTAACGACATCAGCCCCGACATCCTCCAAAGCAGCATTGATCTGTTTCCCGACAAACGCCGCCGGAACAACATGGATATCCTGGACACCCAACGTATTCTGTGCCGTTAGGCCCGTTGTGGCTGTCAAAGAGTAGATGCCATGGGCTGTTAGGACTCTCTGATCTGCTTCGAGGCCGCTGTTTAATCCTTTCAGCATGTTTGCATTTCTTTTTCGTTGTTAAATGGATCATATAAGACATACGCTCCGCCTGAACTATCAGATCCCGCGATGACGAGAACCCGAGGAAGCATTTTCCTGGATATAATGACTGTTACCTAACAAGTCCTGATTGAGTTTCTCGGTGTTGTAGATGATTCAGGGTCAATACTTGATAAATGTTGTCTTACTTTTCTACACGAGTCAAAGCGATGTCGGAAGACGAATAATTCATTGCGGGTCCCGGTGTATGTGGACACTTGAGTTGGGGTATACCCGCTGGGACAATTCTACGTGCTTTAAAGACATCATATGAACCATATATACACTGCCATTCAATCAACTCGCATTATTATCATTTAGAGAAACTGGGGTCATCACAATAAGGATCCTCATCAACGCCAATAAACAAACCCGAATGCTTGATGATATGTCCTAAGCCAACATGAATTTAAACAGCGAATCCATCTCAACCCATTGCCGACCACATTTCTTCAAATATGCATCGACTACTCCCTTGACTGTAGCAAACCTTGCCCTATTGTACTCAGCCATAGCGTGAATATTATCTTTGGCATCACCGGCTTCTTTGGCAGCAACTGACTTGGCCTTGTCGACGTCCCAAAGACCGGCAAAATAAAGTAGTTGATTGTACATTTGCTTTTCAGTATATTCGTAGTTCATACGGCCCAGACAACCCTCTGCACGCCCTCGTGGACCCAGACAGCGGTGACCGTATACACTCATTTGTCGCGTGCGATTGCCGCAAGAAGAATCGTCGCATACAAGCCAGCCTTCATAGTATTTTGCTGTTTGGGCAAGAATCTGGCTTTCCACCTGTGCGACTATAGAGATTGTTGAGAAGACATTGGCGCAGGCTTCATTTGGGCATACCACACCATGTGGAGAGCACATATTGGGTGATGAGCTCAAACCTTCAAAGACAGAGGACTCGCCGCAGTGTCGGCATCGGAGACTTAGACGAGCAGCATGTTCAAAGCGTACAGCATCGGGTATTTGTGACTCCAAGGGGTATATTTCAGCATCTTGTTGGGCATTGGATCGAGAAGTATTAATCTGATACTTTCTAACGTCCAATCCTAGACATTCCGCAATGCGGACAGGGTCTGTGCCTGGAATTGGTGCGCAGAGACGCTCAATTGGCGGGAAGATCTGCTTGAGCAGGTAATATTCAATATCAGGCTTGAGCTCCGAGTCTGGCTTCATAACATCCTGAGGTGTGTACGACCTCTTCGGAGGCGGGAGGTTGGCAGTCTCAGAGTCACCATTCGTCACGACGTACGCAATGACATCGTTGGGTCGGATTGTCTTTCCTCGAGCAATTTCGCGCAAAGCAACTTGAGCAGGAGGCATGCTCTCTTTGTTCGGGTATTCCTCGGGTCGTTTCGAAAGTTTCTTCAAATTTCGTTAGTCCGCAGTCTTACTGATATAGGGTCAACAAACTTACTGTATATATAACGTATTTCTGAACCGGAATTTTGTACTCCTTCATCTGGGCGCTTATGTCCCGTAGGTAATCGTGCACCTTATTGAGCACTACTTCCGAGTCTTCACCTGAAAGAATCTCATCAAGAAGTCTCTTCGACACCTCCTTAGACAGAGCACAGTATTCACGGCGCTTCATATCAAGACCCTTGACTTCAAGCTTGTCGACATATTTACCATCAACTTCGGTCATGTTGATAGCAGCATACTTCTTCTTAGCATGAAGGAGCAGACGGCGGAAGACATTGTCAATGTCGATTTCGAGAAGCTTGTAGCGCTCATTGACGGATGTCTTGAACTCCTCGCCGACTTTGAGAGCATCACTGATGGTGTCCATATTGGTGTTAATCATAACGGAGTCGGTATCTCCATAAATGACTCTTAACTGTTTAGACTCTGCAAGGTCTTTAGTGCTGCGAAGAATCTCACGACCTTTGAATGTTGTAAGCATAGCCAATGGGCGGGCATAGAAGCGAGATTGTGTATAACCCAAACAACCGTACATTGAGTTGGCTGTTAGCTTCAAGGCCATTTGCTTGGTATCCCACAATGCTAGTTGTTCAGTTGTCGCCCTCTTGTCTTTCATCAGCTTCTTAACCTCTCGACGCCGTGTAACCAGGTTGGCAATGAGTCGGGGCAGGATGCCTTGATCTTGGTCAGAAGAGGGTACTTCTGGAACTTGCTCTTCATTCTCATTCTCAGCCTGTAAGAATGTTAGCTATAAAGTCAAACACATCTCTACAAACGGAACTTACAGTTGAGCTTCGGTCAACCGTTGTGAAGCAAATGTTGAACTCTTGAATAATACTGGGATACAGACTGTTGAAGTCCATGACGAGGACAAATCGGTCGTAAAGCCCTTTTTCTGGTTCAAAGACGAGACCACCCTTATACTTCTCCTTCTTTTTCTTATCGGTCGAGTCATCATCGTCATCCATCTTCTCTTCAAGGGCTTTGAGCTGTCTGTTCGAGTACTTGTCTGGACAGATGTATTTGTTGCGGTGGAATTCATGAAGCAAGATGTACTCGTTACGCTCAGCGCGAGTTCCAGTGAGGGTTCTGGCCCATGAGTTACCAGCCAAGTTGGTAAGGACCTTGGTCAGAGAAAGCATTTGTAAACGGATCACCAGTGCAGAGATAAAATAGGTGTCAGCCTCGCAATGCGTGACATATTTCATCAAGCCTTCTTTGGTCGTAGCCCAAGTCTTTAGCGCAGCTTCATTATCAAGCTCGCTACGAATGTGGTCGTCACTCAAGTAGAGCTGACACATCTCGGTTAATGTCCACGACTGACATTTGACCATGAGAGACTACATAACGCTCGCATTAGTACGAAGAAATCAGTAATCAGTGTATTGGTGTGCATACCTTGCCCATATCGTTAGCGAGATCACACATCATTCGACCAGCGATAAGATGCCTGTCAGCAAAGAACCCCCCTCCCCGGTTGAAGTTCTTTGGCCATTCAGTACGCTTCATTCGACCGACTCGGGACCAACCCGGGGTTTTCTTCTCTTTCAATCTGTTCAACAAAATCCCAAGATCAACTTCTTGAAGCTGATGACCCATAATTATATCAGGATCCATTCGCTCGAAAAGAGCGAGGAACTTGCTGAGAAGGAATTGTTCGTTCTTTTCCAACATGTAGACACCTCGTTGTTTCTTAACTTCAGCTTCGAGGCCAATAGGATAGGAAGTTCCCGAAGGACGCATGACTGTGAACGTTTTGCAAGGCATTTTCTCAGGAGGCGTGGTTTCAGGTAAGGAAACATTTTCGTAGATACGAGCACTCGCGACTAGAATCTCTTGTTTATTTTCCTTGACATTAAGCTGAGTCCTGAAAGACAAACTCATCAAAGTCAAGGGAGGCGTCTCTAGCTCTGAGTCCGGGATTGTGGAAATTGTATTAGGTTTCGAGACCTGACATTCAAACTTGCACCAAGATGCGTTGGTAGCTGCTGAAAAGTCTGCTTCACCGATCTTTAGCCAGCAAGGGCCCATGACATGCTTCCACAAGACGAATTGCTCGAAAAGTGCTGTATTGGTACCGAATACGTGCGAAAATGTCTCACCAGTGGTGTCCATAGGTAGTGCGGGTTTGTCGTATGGGTAAAGAAGCTTCAAGTAGTCACCTTCTTTAGGGATATTTGGAAGCTCAAATGCGTACTTGCGGCTGCATGGTTTGATCTTGTGCATGCCAACTTTGAGCTTTGTCATCATACCATCAACTTCCTCATAGACATCCTCCATGTCGACTTCTTCATCGGTAACTTGCCCCTTCTTCACACGAGTTTCACGGGGTAGGAAAAAGAGTTTGCGAAGGATGTTGTCGMCCTTGACAAAGGAGCTGACATASGAGCCAGTCTTCTTGTTTTTGACCTTGCCAAAGAGACACAAACTGCCGTTGATTTCGGTATAGTCGAGCCAAAAGAACTGAATAGTTCCGTCTTCTTCAATGACATCTTGTGCTCGCACTTTGCCGAAGCCAACATTTTCTGTTGCGGGACTGCTGAGAACGTTGAGCTTGCTTGTCACATTGTCCCATGTTGCCTCCACTTCAGCGGGTGCACGTGGTGGCGAGGAGCTTAATGGCGAAGGGTATGGGAGTTTCTTGATCTTTGGCGGTGGTTTGCTTCCGGTCATATTGACACTAGAAGATTTGCTATCGTGATGGCCTGTGGCTTGAGCCACGTCCATCATATCTTCGTCCTCGTCTTCTTCTTTGATAACGTCCTGGTCATTCTTGAAGGACTTTCTTTCAATGGCTTTTGATATGGGAGATGAGGGAAGAGCAGCGTCACTCATTGGGACATTTTCATCATCTTCACCGCCCAATGCCAACGTCCCGTCATCGTCATAGTTAGGAATATCAATTTCTTGCTTGGGCGGAAGAGGAGTGTCCTCGCCTTTGCCACGCATGCGACGATGTGAGGGTTTTGACTTCTCTGAAAGCGGAGGTGATAGAATACGGACTTTGCGGCGTGTCTCGGACTTGATAATGTTTTTGGTCGGCAATCGGGAGGGCAGGATATTGGTATCGACATCTCCTAGAAGGTCTGCCATGAAGGCTTCATCTTCGGCAGTCGCGACAGGCTATTTCATGGGTTGTCAGCACTAATAGCACCAGCTTGTAGACCAGTCGTCAGAATACATACCTTTGGCTTTGGTGCAGCTAAAGCATTGCCCGTGTTGAAGTACTTTGTGATACCATTGTCAATCTTTTCCTTTCGCTGCTTCTCTTCTTCTCGCTTCCGCTTCGCTGCCTTTCCTCTGGCGGGGAGATCATCATCTTCCTCGCTGTCGCTATATTCTACTCGGTCCTCGTTCCAGACTTCGCGTCCATCGTCCGCATATCCCTCGCCATTGTCGTCAACCACAAAATCGTCCTCGTCAAGTCGTTTTCGAACAACCTTTTTGTAGCCTTCTTCGTCGACTTCGTCGTATATAGATCCTTGGTCTTCGATTTCGTACGTGGAGAGACGCTTCTTGCCAGCGGCACGAAGGGCTTTGAGCTCGGCGAGCTTTGCTCGAGCTGCCGACATTATGAACGGAGTATGTTAGAAAGCTTCATATGCAGAGGTAGATAATCAGGTATTTCTGTGCAGTGTAATTGTCAATGTGCAATTGTAGGTATGTAGCATAAAGGCGTGTTGCGTCTTTCAAGGGTGGAAGGAGCTAAACTAATTAAACACGCTGCGGGAATGTGGACGCGCCGGACAACGCGACGTGACGGTGCACTAAGCCGCTTTGGTCGTAATTAGTATAATTAGTGGATCTCTGCTTATTTACCCTAATCCTGCCGCATCTCTCTTCGACTCTCTTCAACAAGATCATTATTGATGGTACCGCAATCTCCTTCAAGAAGAAGTTACACCTTGGCTAGCAAGATAGATGCTGGAATACAACAACTACAAGCATACCATTCCGTATCAATGATCCCATTGCCTTCTAGTATTACGAGATCCCTGGACTCTACCAGTCCTAAATAGATGATGCCTTCAAATCTGAATTCGTTATATTCATTGATCGTCACAGTCCAAAATAAGATCTTCAAGATTCGCTAATCGGATACAAAACTGTCCTCAGAATCCGATTCTGTTTGTATAATCAGTCATCTGTAGATAAAAGCCAAGGACAAACAGAGCTCACCTATTATAACCTCATAATCAAAAGCTCCTCCTACATTCTGCGCAAGGGCATCACTAATGACGTTTTGCGCATCAAGAGGGATGACACTGTCGGCCACTGCACTCGTGATAATCAAATGAAAACCTCTGTTGTTCGGACCGAGCTGAGAGACAAAGTCGAGAATTCCCTCCGCGGTAAATTCACTATAAGCATGAATTGCAAGGAAGCGAAGGCTTTTCAATGTAAGGAAAGACGGCCAGAGGTCATCATCGAAGCCTAATCCATTGACTGAGAACCGCTCCAATTTCGTCAGATAAGGCATCATGGTCATGACATGACCTGCTGTATAGTAATCAGAGACTTCTTTGAGATCCAGCTCGCGAAGTTCGGTCAATTTGCAGATTGCTCGTAGCAGGCTTGCCTCGTTTTGCACAACGGCATGACGCTTTCGTTGAAGGATCAGAGATTGCAGGGACTCCGCCTGGAGTGATAATGCGTGATGGAATTCCTCGTTATTTTCTGTGAAATAGCATCGCATTTGCAGTGTTTCAAGACGTATTCTGTCATCAACGAGTACTTTTGCAAGAAGACTCATGTCATCCATACCCATGAAATCTCGAAGCTGCAAATGGCGCAGGCTTTCACACTGACTGATCCATCCAGCAACATCCGTAAGAGTCTCTTTGAACGAATCATCGCGGGCGGTAGGTTGAGAATCCGTTAGTACCAGTCGCGTCAGAGCTTTAGGTGGACCAAGGGTTGGAAGTTGAGCAATAGCTTCGATGGACAAATTGGTCAATACCAATTTCGTAAGTGAGCCAAGATGGGCGTTCAAGGAGATAATGGTCCGCGGTCCAATAAATGACAAACTGATAACCTCAAATGTTTCCAAAGAATTAGGACGTAAGCTGTTCAGAACGCGCTCGGCTTCGGCATCTGCTTGAAAACCTTGACGATCCAGCCTGGGACATGATAAGTTTGGTCATCCAATAAAGAACACACGGAATATGAAGAACCTTGGAGTGTTTGTTTAGATACTTACCATCTGAAAACCGAAAGACTTTTGAAATCCGGGCAATGCTCTCGGATTTCTTCGTCAGCTTTTTCACTAAAGGAAGCCCCATTCCAGATATAAAGAGTCTGTAATCTGGGTAAATGTATAGCCCATTGTTTGAGGGCAATTCCGGGTACTGGTACTCATCAGTCGGGATATCATAGATGTATATGGGGCAACTTACTGTTGCCTCTTAGTTCCTTGATCATATGCGCCCTATCAGTTATCACTGTTCGATGTAAGTAATCATTAGATATCCGATAATATCCAACGGGTATTTTCTGGTAACTCACATGTACCAACTCTCTGAATGACCCAGGAGGTATTGGTGAAATCTCCCTTCGAGGACCGAAGTCTTTTATGACCCTTGCTCTCATAATTCTGATAGATGAGATCACCAATTCCGCTCGCAAAGAACTCACTGTGTCCACTCAGTCAGATATATGGTCATGGAGCACAAATTTCTATGAAAGAATGGCTTACTCTCGTATAGGGCCCTTAAATCCGGTGTGCGTCAAAAGTTCCCTAAAATCATCCAAGTCCAGATATCTGATATAATCACAATAGGGCAAGAATGTCTCCCCGTCTGATGTCGACAATATAATTGACCGCCACATGAGCACCCATTTACGGAATGTCGCAGCTGATTCTACGGCGTCTCGTGGTATCGTGCTCAATGATGGCACCTTGGAGAAATCAAGGGCGCGCGGTCTGAACGACTCATCTTCTGCACCTCCGCCAAATGCTGGAGATGAGTCGTATAGTTGATAAAGAATGGCTAGGGCTGGCTCGGCGAGCCATCTTGATACCAATGCACATTGAAACAGTGTGTTGTGGTCGACTTGTGCTTTGAGAAAGTCCAAGATGATGAGGAGCACATCGCCGCTTAGGACCACCATTGTTCCAAAAGGGTTGCTCTATTTTGACGATGGGAGGGTTTTCCAACGAGACTCGTACTCAGATATTTATCTATGAAAAAGGGAAAATAGCAAGAGTCGAATAGAAGATATCGATAAGGCAACAAGGCACGTCCTCTCATGACGTTTCGGGAAAGCGTGTGCAAGCGACGCGTTTGATTGGTGGATCGACCACCCTATGGGGCGTGTACAATATCTCTTGCCATGTTGACTCCTTCCCTTTTACCTTTTCTTCTTCTTTTAACACCGAGTGATAAGCATTAACCCTCACAATAGCACAGCAACTAGAGATGCCCAAGCTGTCATTCTCTCTCAGGCCATCTGCAATACTACAACTGCACGATGCCTTGGTGTGCCTGAGCAAATTTAATGAGAGCGTCTCAATTGAGGCTGAATATGGCCTAGTAAGTGCACTCCATCTAGTAGCCTGGAAGTCACTAATACTAGATATAAGCTACGCCTGAGTACGTTAAATACTGCCAAAACGGCATATGCATCCTTTGTTCTAGACGCCGGGAAATTCTTCTCCAAGTACAGTTTTAGTACACGCGGGGAACAGCAGAGTTCTGGACAGAGATATGTAGACAAATTCGCATGTCAGATGTATCTAAAGGTAATACACCTCGGAGCCTTATAGTAGACCATTGCGCAGGTGCTAATAAGCGGTCAAGGCTCTGCTTTCAGTATTCAAAGGTCGAGCCGGTGAGACACGCGACAAGCAGACCACTGTAGAACGCTGCGACGTTGAGCTACATGATTCCCCGGATGAAGCTGAATGCAGGTTACATATACAGATGATCTGTGGCCAAGGTGTGTGTATTTCCGCCAACCTTATTACGGTGGATTTGCTGAACATACGATAGGTGTTGTCAAATCTTATAAATTAACCTACGAGCCTGTTTCTGTACAGCACGCGCTGTTTGATCAATCACGAGTACAGAATCAGTGGATAATTCAGGCAAAGATCTTGAGAGAGATCATCGATCATTTCAGCCCGACTGCGGAGCAATTGGATATTTATCCTGATACAGGAAAGGCCATTTTTACCAGCTTCACAAATAAAATTAGTGATGGGAAAGGTATTTTCATCCATTGTCCTCTTTGACTCTCCAGCATTGTGGCTAATTGATCGTTAAGAAATCCTCAAACAACCGGTCCACACATCCGTTGCTATAGACAGAAAAGATTTTGAAGAATTTACCGTCAAAGATGGGTTACACGTTGCTATCAATGTTAAGGATTTCAAAGCAGTAGTATTCCATGCAGACACCATGAAGACATCGATCACCGCACGTTACACTCGTCCTTGTCGGCCTCTTCAACTGGCGTACGCATCAGAAGATGGCATTGATTCGGAATTCACACTCATGACACGTGGAGAGGTTGATGAGGCTGATAATGACGATGATGCTTCGAGACCTGTATCGCAGCTCTCGGCCAGMCCAGCCGCTAGACGTGTTGCAGCGCCTGAATCAGCTACTATCCCTGGTGCCTCGACAGCTTCCGCAGCTTCATCAGCAGCAAGAAATACAATGCCACCGCCCTCTAGTCGACCAGCTATATCCTCTCGAAAGCCGGAATTAATGTCAAGTGCTGCGTCGAGAGCAGCATTGGCGGATATTCATGATAGCCTTTTTGTGCCCGCGGATGACGACAGGCAGTGGGATGAGCAGGTATATGATGAGGCAGATGACCAGGATATTCTTGGCTGGGATTCGAATATTGAACCGGTTCGTCCATGAATCCGTCGAAGTTGAAATGGTGGTAAGCTAATTGTCGATAGGGAGCATACCATGAGGGTCGTCCAAAGCCGCTGACGGATGACTACCCGACGTTGTCACCTGATAGGCAACAAGCACGCAGCGACGCTGAGACGGCCATTCCTCCAACGCAACCGATGTCACAGGTATGTTTCGTATTAGTATGATTCCGAAAACTCAAATACTGATTTATGGTAGATACGAAACCTCGGTCTGTTTGACTGAGCTCGCTTTTATGGCATTTCTCATGATGAAACCACAATCCAACTCGTGGCACAGCCGGCGCCAACTCGAACGATCCTTGCCTTCTCCGCGTGTAAGACATCAGCAGGAAGCGGGATCTGGCTCAGCCTCCCTTTCACATCCCCACGTTCATCTGTATCAGGCCCACAATTGCCATGCTCACCCCACCCACAAGAAACAACAGTCTTGTCTCTTGACAAAACAGCGATAGCATGCTCACTTCCAGCCATGAACTGCACGACAGATTCCCAACGTACAAGCGACTGTTGACTCCCAGACGATTGTTTGTCGACGCCCAGCTGGCCACGATCGTTGCGGCCCCAGGCAATAACCGAGTTGTCAAGGGTATTATGTAAATAAACTCCATGCCAACTGGTCGATACCTCGTACCGACTTTCGGTCAGACTGCTTCTTTGTAATGTCTGCACTGGAGGCGCAGCAGATACGATATTCCATTTATCATTCGTCCCAAGAATCGTATACATATACTGACCTTCCTTAACCCCAGTTTCATCCTTCTTGTAGCCATCGATGAATGTAAATTCTCGCCCACAGCTCACACTCGTCGGCACCGCTTCCAATTTAGTCACATCTATCTTCATAGGCGCCCAAACCGCTTTTGCCCGTACAATATTTATATCATCTCCAAGCTGCCCCTTCCTCGAAGCTCCCCACCCATAAAAATCTCCATTCGACAATATCGTGACAACATGATTCATCCCACTACTAATCGTTTCAATGCGCGTGTTCAGTGGCGGAAAGTCAGTAAGGACATAATCATCAACATCGATAAAGTCATGATCATCCTTATTTCTTGCAGGCGGTGTGCTTCGCAGGCCAGGTCCAAGACCTAATTCACCTTTATCGCCTGTTCCGAGGGAGATCACTATATTCTTTCCGTCCCCGTTCTTGTCCGTACTGGGGATGCTAGCGACGAAACAACTCGCAGACCAGGTCGCGCATACGTCTCTAAAGCGATCAATCTCCACCCCTGTAGCACCAAGACGGAATATTACTCGCTTGAAGCGCGTGAGAACATCGCCGTCCTCTCCTCGATTCAGATCCGTCCTATGGACCCCGCATCTCAAATCCTCATTCAATCCAGCCGCATACACAGTTCCACTCTCGAACAAAACAAGTGTATGATTTCCGCCGCAGGATATACGCTTCACTGTATCTCTTGTTTCTACCGTTTTCCCGTTGTTTTTGTTTGGTCGGCTATCGGTGTCAATGTCAAATATACATTTTGTTGCCTCAGAGACATCATCTCTGTGTCCGATGCCTAGTTGACCCGATCCATTAGATCCGAGAGCGAGGATTCTCTCCATTATACCCTCAATTCAACCTTGATTGAATAAAGCACATTCAAAAGGTCAGAAGTATGAAATCAATGTTTGAAGTGAGCTCACAGAATTGAAGGACTTGTATAAGCTTAACTGCATTGGTCTTAGTGTATTTACTGTGATGGTTATCGACACGTGATGTTATCGATAACAATATATTGAACCAATCATCTCCTGTTAGGTTGTCAGAAAACATCTTCCTCGTCTCCAAGAACAAATAGGAAAGGAGTGCTCTGAGGGACTTTCCTAGTGGGCAGTACTGGGAGTGGCTAGTGTGGCTGAAGATTCATGTTGTATTGAAGTCAAATGGTATAGACGCTTTGCACAATAAGTATCCTACTGAATAACAGACGTGAAACACACAAAACGGATAGACATCATAAAAGGTGCATGATCATTGTGGTAGAAAGACATCTTAATTCTTCAAGTCGTTGATGCTTCGTAAAATGTAATTAACGCTTATTCAACCCTTGACGATCCAGCCGCTGTGTACCATAAAGTCAAATATTCGGCCTGCTTTTGCAGCATCGATCTATTCGAGAGTCAGTTTTGATCGCACCTGACGTAGATATCGGCAGAGATACATACCTTGCAAATAGCCCGAGCATCTTTCTTCTTCAGCGTGCCGTTTTGCTTCATTGCCTCTTTCAGCAGCGCTTCTTTAATGACTAGGTAGGGTTTGGGTTGCACGTGAACCGCATTACAGAGCTCAACTTCTTCTTTGGTCAAAAGATGAAGGTCAGGTGCGCCCTCGTTCTCCAGTTTCCATTGATTGATCCCATTCACTGGTTGCACGACGTATTTTGTCTTCGTTGCAGGTTGAGGAGTACTTAATCCATCGCCATTGGCAGCAAAGGCGAGATCAAAATCGTTGAGTGGTTGATTGACTTCGGGTGCCGCGGATTTTGCGGCTTTTTGGAATCGTAAGGGTAGTTCCGGGGTAGTGAGTAAACTTGCTTGAGATGGTCCCTCGGGCTGTTGGATCTGTTTTGAAGGACGAGTGGATGTAGCAAACCGATCAAACGAGCCTTGTGGGATGGCTCTTTGAGCTCTCTGCTGCTTCTCTTGCTCATATTTCTCCCCACTCTTCAGGTCCGTGATGCCGTACTGGCGCCATTCTTGTAGTTGTGCTATCGCCAATCGCAAGTTGTGCTCATACTCAAGACCTTTACTAAACTCCTCAAAATCTTCATGGTTCATCATGCGAGCAAAAGGTTTCGCCTTGTTCAACACTTCTTTCTCTTCTTTTGTTCGTTTCTTCTCCTGAGCAATGTTCTTGCGATATTCGAGTAGATTGTGCTCAAATAGGATCTTCTTTCTTTCTGTTCGCTGTGTCAATCGTGAATTGTAGATTTCCATGACCGTCATCTTTAGCTCCATCTCGGGTTCCATTTCGCCATTTGCATTAAGGCCATTTCCTGGTTCGAATTGCATATGTTGCACAGCTTCTTCTGCCTCGTTGCAGAACTCGGTCTCGAACTCGAGACGTCCAGGCATGTAACCCTGCACTTCATGACACGACGGCACACTGGCAGTGGGTTTCTGTTTCGGCGTTGCAGGCGGAGCAGTCTTGGCGGCTTCCTTGCGCTCTTCGATGCGCCGCTTCTTGCGAGATTGGAATTCTTCTTTGGAAATCTCATCTTGGAGCGTCCTATCTTCGGGATCGGCGCGAGCCGGTAAAGGAAAATTTGGGCTGTTTATGTACGTGTCGATATAGTGATCGCGAACCTCTTCTTTCGAACGGTAGCCCCCGACATGGTCCGCAATATCGGCCCAAGAACCAAGTCCGTAAATTTCAGCACCCTCAAGCAAGAGCAGTTCTTCATCAGCACCCCAATCTTCTGTGTATATTGGTACCGAATTCTGCTCAATAACGTGGAATGGATGAGTTCGAGGGTCATGAGTCTTGGAAGACTCGCCAGCCGCAAAGCAAGGCACGCATAAGTCGTATTCAGGGCAGGACGGGTGGGCGCATGATATCCGAACCTAAGTAGCTTGTCAACACAACATATTTTGCCTAGAGACGGTCGAAGTGTACTTACAGTCGACGTGATGTCTACAGAGCAGACATCGCAATGGTATTTGGTACCGCCGTCCGTACCGCGCGTGGCGGTCTTCTTCCGGATTACGCCCATGGGTTGCTCGCTTGTCTCATCCTCCGCCTTTTCCGGGTCCGTGTCGGAAATTTTCGTGTGCTCTCCAGAGATGGAGAGGCGTTGTCAGTCTTTAATGGGATTGTTGTTCGAAAGCGTGCCTGGGGTAGTTGATGATATCAAGTGACTGATCTCCGCGTTTAAGTGGAGTTGCGATAGACAGGTACGGGTGTGTACGTGGTGGCGAACGAGATATGTGAGAGTATGATGATGGACTTTCGGAGATGAGCAACTTAATATGTAGATGTTAGAAGTATTGCATCCGTTGGCGTAGGTTATTGCGTGCTGTTAATTCTGAAGACGAGTTGAACTGAAGTTGTGATCCTGGAGATGCGATTGGGTAAGCGCGACATCGGCAGGCGCAAACCATAACTAAACCTTGGCCCTTGCGTCTGATGAATCATGTGATGGACACGTGACTAAATGAAGCCAAGACGGTTTCATACCAATTAGGAATAGTCGATCGTCGCCTTATTGTGGCTGTGGCTGTGTGCGCAGCCTCAAAGTGGCATGTAATCAATTTGAGACTCTTTACATCGCTCGTAGGGGTTCAGTATTTCGATTACAGTCTTGCATACACGCAGAGACAACCCCCAGATTGAACTTCATCTTCGACTTTCTAAAAACTGGGAATAGACGGTGATTGATCCAGCAAAGCCGGAGTATAAGACGGTTACCCCTCACTCGGATTGAACTGAACTTCTCACCGACTCGCCCCGCTGAATGTCCAAGAGTTATGCTTGCTTATGGCAGTGCTTTGTAATAATACATTAGTGCATACATCGCCCCAGGACAACTCCCCCCCAACACGCCGACTTGTGTTTTGGTTTTCGTAACCGAGTCCACCACCTCAGACGTCACGTTATCATCAAGCAACTCAAAAATAACTCCTTACAGTGTCGAGACTCAACTCAAGTCTATATCTTCTGTCCGGCCTTTGTTGTTTTGACGGACGCTCAGCCTCGGTGATTGTGTCGCTTATCGCTGTTGGGTGTGTGGCTGATCGGCAACCGTTGTTTTCCACTGGTACTCCGGCGCCATCGACAACTGGCAGCAGCACACTCCGTTCTCAGCTCTGCTCAAACAGACTCTTTTACACTTCAACATTGTTATTGTTTCCTTCGTTAAGAGCTACTTGTCTCTGTCTCGCATTTGCATACAGTCGAACCAGACGCCATGTCGTGGAATATCACAAAGAGTATGTGTCGACCGTTTCAATTTCCCATGACACAAACGGTCGATCTCTTGAGACACAACTATAAACATTAGATGCTAACACTTAACAGAGCTGAAGGAAACGCATTTAGCGCCCCTAGCTGCCTTTGGACGCTCATCGTCGACATCGACGATCAAGGGCGAACCCGCCGAAGAGACCACCCCAGTACCATCGCAACGACCCACTATAACATCACAAGTCTCCAATGGAATTGGTATGCTCTTTCAATAAGTAGTCACCGCAGTGGCTAATAAATCATACAGTCGACTCCGAGGCCCTAGTATCACCCCCGGTTGCTTTAGTCAAACCCGGTATATTGATCGTGACTCTTCACGAAGGAAAGGGGTTTTCGCTATCTCCCCATTACCAACAGATAATCAATTCCCATTTTCAAAATCCGAATGGCCCTATACGCCCGAATTCCTCCTCCTCACACTCCGCGCAGACCGCAGGGTCTTATACACAACCTGCCCGCCCCCAGTCTACCAGCAGTGGTATCAACGCCGCACCTACAATTCACGGCCGCTACCTGACCAAGTATCTCCCATATGCGCTTCTCGACTTTGATAAGAACCAGGTCTTCGTCGATGCCGTGTCTGGAACTCCCGAAAACCCATTATGGGCTGGCGACAACACCGCCTTCAAATTCGATGTTTCGCGACAAACCGAATTGAGTATACAGATATATCTCCGCAACCCAGCTGCTCGGCCAGGAGTTGGGCGTAGTGAAGATATATTTCTTGGAGCTACCAAGATGCAACCGCGTTTGCAAGAAAATACGACTTATGTGGAAGACCCCAAATTGAGCAAAAAGGAAAATCAAAGAGCGGCAGCTGAGCAAGAAAGAACTGTGGGTCAGCTGGGAACTGAATGGCTGGACTTGCAGTTTGGGACCGGTTCGATCAAAATTGGACTGTCTTTCGTGGAGAATAGGGCTCATAGCATGAAGCTAGAAGATTTTGAGCTTTTGAAAGGTGAGTAGAGTAACCTTAAGGTGAATCAATATGTCGACGGTGATGCTGACTATGTTATAATATAGTTGTTGGCAGGGTAATTAAGCTCCGAAGTTCATGATATATCTGACCTACAACTAACATAACATCTATTGTAGGGATCATTTGGCAAAGTTATGCAAGTGAGGTCAGTTCTAATGCTGCCTACCAGAATCTGAATGCATACTCACGATACCATAGGAAGAAAGATACCAAACGTATCTATGCGCTTAAGACGCTCCGCAAAGCACACATTATCTCCAGATCCGAAGTTGCACATACTCTCGCTGAACGATCAGTGCTGGCCCAGATTAACAATCCATTCATCGTACCATTGAAGTTCTCCTTCCAGTCCCCAGAGAAGTTGTATCTTGTCCTCGCATTCGTGAACGGTGGTGAATTATTCCATCATCTACAACGGGAGCAACGCTTCGATATCAACCGAGCTCGGTTTTATACTGCGGAGTTGCTGTGTGCGCTTGAATGTTTGCACGGATTCAAGGTCATTTACCGTGATTTGAAGCCGGAGAATATCCTTTTAGATTACACTGGTCATATTGCATTGTGTGATTTTGGACTTTGTAAACTCGATATGAAGGATGAAGATCGAACAAACAGTGAGCCATTTGTCCATGAAATATTTTCGATTCACTAACATTGGCACAGCCTTTTGCGGTACACCCGAATATCTTGCTCCAGAATTGCTATTAGGCAATGGGTATACAAAGAGCGTAGACTTTTGGACGCTCGGAGTTCTACTCTATGAGATGTGCGTATACATCAATTCAGGCACAGAAAGCAAAGTTACTGACTGCACAGGTTGACTGGTCTGCCACCATTCTACGATGAAAACACAAACGAAATGTACAAGAAAATCGTCCAAGAACCATTGACATTCCCAAGCCACGATATCGTACCCGCCGCAGCTCGCGATCTCTTGACCCGTCTTCTCGACCGCGACCCTCAGCGTCGTCTGGGCGCAAACGGAGCCGCAGAAATCAAGGCACACCATTTCTTCTCGAATATTGACTGGCGCAAGCTTCTGCAGAGGAAGTATGAACCTACTTTTAAGCCCAGCGTGGTACGTATATCTCTTTCCGTGAAGAAGTCGTGGCTTACTGACGAAACCATAAAGGTCGACGCCTTGGATACGGAGAATTTCGATCGTGACTTTACAGAAGAAATACCAGTTGATTCAGTCGTCGAGGGTAACGCGCTTTCCCAGACCATGCAAGATCAGTTCGCAGGCTGGTCCTACAACCGACCTGTCGCAGGCTTTGGTGACGCCGGAGGCAGTGTCAGAGACCCATCTTTTGCCAGCATCCCTGAATAAAGTGGATAAATATGGACATCTTGCATTTTCGTCTCTCTATCAGCCTCAATCATCAACAAAACATACCAAATGATATACAATGATGACATCCATCATTTATCTGTCCACCTTGGAAATCTAGACAAAGATAGGGAAACAAGTATGATGAAACCTGAAATGAAGAACCATTGCGCGGATTCTGTGTTATTTTTCTATTTGCGAATCATCATGTTTGTCGCCTAGCGGACGCATTTTTTTCTTCTTTCTTTTGATTTCTTGTGTGTGTGATCTGTTCCGTGTCTCATAAGTTTGAAACTTTTTTCCATTTACATATAAATCGAGAGCGACAGGCAGGTCCTTTGTTTTGCTTGAGAATTCGAAATGGATATGCTAAAAACTACGACTTTCCTCGAGTCGGTATGAAGTCGTAGGGTACGGTGTTGGTCGGGTGGTTAGGAAAGTGAATTTGTTGTCACGGCCGCCGTCAGTTCAGACCAGCAAATCATTTCGTAGATTCTTGGGTGGTTTCTAGAGAGATGGCTACCTACCCAACTAGAATTGGCGCGATTCAGCCTAACGATCAGTCCGTCGAAGGCGTAATTGATGATCAGATCAAGAAATTGTCCTGATTCGAGGCTGATTCGCATGTTTTGTATGCCCGCGAGTCTGCCTGAGGCTCGTCTTTCACAACTAAGTGTGTCCGAGTCGTGTTGACCTAACCCTCAGATTCGATGAGATCTGTCTACAAGAAAAAAAAGAAAGAAAAAGATCCTTTGCCGAGAGTTGGTCTTGGTAGATCATGAGAGCCCCTGAAACGTCTAGCCCAAACTGTACATAAACCAGCCCTTGATTTTCCTTTCTTTTTCCAGGACTTAACGCCGGTACTGACCTACCGGTTCAGGACATGGTTACATACCTACCATGCCTAGTACATAATAGGATCTCTTTTATACGTCGTATTTCGACGTACATCAAGTCCGCCTAGCGAACTAAGAACTTTTGATGAACTCAAGACCTATATATAGCTAAGAACCATGACGTACGCGAGTCGTGTGCAAATTTTATGTACAGTATATTGCATGTCAAGATCCTCGGGCGTTTTTGGCAGGTATCATGAAACGTACGTCGATTCGGGTTGACCGCGAGGTCCGGCGTTTGGAATAGATGGGCTGAGGATCTGTTGGCGCGAGGCTGTAGGAAAAAGTACGAATCGTGGCCAAGGATATCCCTACACAGCCTTGAAGAGTATGATATTGGCTGACCTCGATGCAAGTAACCAATCAGTTCTTGCAACAACAAAGGATACACACAAATAGCAAGACATTGCTAGGCTCGTAGAATGAGTTTTTGGATGCTGATCATAGTGATCAGCGCAAGGCGGATCTCGGAAGGAGATTGGCAGAGGTCATTTTTTCATCAGTTTCATTGTGAGTACGTAGTCCAGTAAGGAAATAGAAATGGCCCCTGTCAGCCGCGTGAGGTTGCAATTAGGACATTTCAGAGGGTCGATTTTGCTGTAACAAAAAAAAAAAAAAGAGAGGATGGAATGAAGTGAGTGTGCCAACAAGGCAGTCAGAAAACCTTCCATCAAGACTCGGTACACTAGGCAATGGTGTCTCTATGCAACTGATCAAACAAAAAATTTCATCTCCATAATCAAGGACCTGATTGAAGTTTTCATGGTCATCCCCTTCATTCATCCACGTGCTCTCTTCGTAAAATGAATTTGTCGTTCTCAACTCCCCTGCGGAGACGAAATCCAACAAAGTCGAGCACAATGAAAAGTTTTTGACTCTAGAATCTGTTCACAGAGTATGGAGCATCTCCACTACTTACATCAGTCATATCATGTATGAATAGCTACTAAACGAAGCTGCGTATCACCACTATGGAGGACATAGGATAAGATACGCGGGTAAACATTCAGCAGCCAATCAGATCCACAGTCAGCGCTGATTGACAAGTAAGCGCGAACACACGGAGCACGTGGGTGGGTCCGCCAACTTTAAACCAACCTGTCTTCTCTACGTAATATGTTTGGGTCTATGATTCTCCGGATGGTCACCGAGATGATTCGTGTCGTGGATGGAATACGGGACTATTGAACGCCTCATTCGATGGGCTCGATGGTTCATCCAGCCTATCGCATTTGAAAAATCTAGAAAGTGTGCCAGTTGCATGGCAATTTGTCCGGGAATGAAGGGACGAGAAGTCAAGCACGTGTTTCGCATCGGAACTATGCGCCGGCCATCTCTATAATGCATACGGAGTATGGAGACAGCACATTCTTCTTGCTGGAGCCAGAAGAAAAGCTTCTAGAAGACAAGCAATAACCAGCAAACATTGGCAAACCTTCCAGTCTGGGGCCTTTCAGCGTTCTGAAAGGAACCATCAAGCCACCTGGTCAGCCAAGGCAGAAGCATGTGGTATGCGCGATCTTATGCAGGGACGAGCACAAAAATAGGGAGTTCAGGTCACATGCAGGCGGTTTGCAGAAAAATACCATAAGCGTGGAAAACTAAGACCCGCTATGTCGAGAACGTCTAGAAGAATTTTAGAAGCTTCTCAGAAAACTCAAATACGCGAGTGGCGATGTACACACGAGTCATGCTGGATTGATATCTGATGGGACTAACGTGTCGGGCTGAAGCACGTTGTTGAGGTATGTCTGATGACTGGGATTTGTTACACTATGGAGTTCTAGTGAGTCGTTGGTCTACAACCTGATGTTGATAATTTCCTGAGGCTGTAACTGCAAGCGACTACTAATTACGAGGTTATTACATAGTAAGTACGTTTACGTATTATGTAGTAGCTACGTTGTCGTATCTGCCTGAGACTGCCTGACTTAGTTTCGTTGACAAATTGACAGGATTGAAACATGTGCCGCGCAGTCTCAAACAGGCAATGCGATGAACCATGCGACGATTCTATCAGGTAATTGTTTTGCATCAGATGCTACACAGGGGAGGCTTGCCCCGTCTTGTCGCGTCACAACACCTTTCTTGCAAGTTGTATGCAGGCGCAGTGCATACATAGTATGACTATGCCGCGCTTTCCGTGGATCTGACATTCTTGTCGGCTACCTCCGAGACGATAGCTCCACAAGCCATGCGAAAGTCCCATTCTCTACATGCCAGTAACGTGGAGACATGAAAATTTTCATCGCGGCTAGATGCGAGAGAGGTGTGAAGGCATGTCGTGTAGGAGACGTGATTGGCTCCGAGCCGGAATGCCGGATGCTCTTAGACCAGACCGTGCCGGGATGGGCCATGGTAATAGGCCAAGCGCGTTTAATAAGGGTCTCGGACCTGTCGTGCAGTTCGCCTTGTACTAGTAGGCTTATCCTATTGTACACTGGTACAGCATTATTGGTGAGATGCAGCAAACCACTCGAGATGGCTGCTTCTCGCAGGTAACTATGGTTTCGACTAGTAACGCAACCTCCGCACGGAGTCCAGCTCTATACGGATATGGCTTKCAGCTTCAACGTATTACGTTCGTTCGCTCCGGGTAGTTAACACCAAATTCATCTATCTCAGCTTGGCTGCGCCTTTCCCACGGCACATCGAGCGCCATCTTTCTTGTCAATTGCTTGTCAATGCTTGAGTCAGCCTTGAAGCGATCCTATTGTGCTGTATTTAGGTATACTGCGGCGTTTCAATGTGTACAGAGACACGTACGACATGATGTTGTATGATGCCCAGACTATGCTGGGGTATAGTCGTATTATTAGTCACAGGTACTTCTGGAAATTGCTTTTTACTGCGTTACACGCGGCTGCAGCATGCACCACCTGATATAGTTCTATACGGAGTATTTGCGCGATCGTGATGAATAATTGTGTTGCACATGTCATTCATGAACCCGAGTCTCTTGGATTGTCGAAGTCTACGTAGGATCGTCTCATCCATGTTCCTGCCAGGAAGGCATCTACAGATGATTCATTGTGATGTACTTGTACATAATCTCTACAATGCTCACAATAATCAGAACAATACTTGCACACATAGTTGTAGCTAATAAGAGAGGCATAAATGGTGCACGCAGGTGTTGCCTCTTCGAGCGATGCCAAGCCCTGCAGTCGATGACAGCGGCCAAGACTCGAGAGCAATGAAAACGGCTGTCGAGAGCACGTTTCTCATTCCCGCGCTCTTATTGGCCAATCGCCTACCCCGGGCCGATCAATCTGCCAAGTAGCGTCGCTGCACAATTGCGGGCCAATGGCTGATACAATACGGTATTATCCGATCGTATTTTTATTTTTTCTCTTCTGCTTTTTGCTATTGGCGTTTCGTTTTGTTTTTTTTGCCCGTTTTGTGAGACTGGCCGTTCGGTCGAGTCTGTTGTGTCGTGCAAATGCAAGTAGTCCGTGGTCGTAGGTGTACGACTGCTGCACTCGCAATAAGGCAAATAATTTGAAATTTTATTCCACCTTCAACGTGGGACTGTATTAGTACAATTGATATAGTAAGTGCAATGAATGGACGCATTGAGAGATGCTAAGGCAGAGTCGCCGCGGTGGGCCAGACCAGACCCCGGCGTCCCTAGTCATACCGTATCACTGTGCAGGACTAGTCGTACCGGACTCAAGCCTAGCTGGTGGGGCTCGACTCGACATATCAGCGCTCCGGATACAGCAACGTGCCTCTTCCTCTCTGACCAGCCAAGCTCAGCCAAGCAGCCCCAAAATGGTATATATAATTACCCTTCTAAATCCCGTCTCTCGTCTGGGATCTTTTTTACTTCACTGTGCTAATACCAAGCCTTGAGGCGTCGTTGCTCAGTCCGTGGCTTTGCATCTTTCGGTAAGTGGCAGTCTTGGATATCTCTTGGTAGTCCGAGCACTTTTTTTTCCTCGCCTGTTGATCACACGATCACTTACTCGTTTTATTTATATTTTAGATAAGATCAGAAATTCGTCGTCGACGACGTTTCGAGTGAACGACAGACAACGACAAAATGACTGCTCTCGGTCCTATGCCCCCCCACGGGCCCGATATGGCCGGCACGCACCCTCAGTACGAGGAGATGCACCCGACAGAAAAGGATGCCTTTGACGTGCTCCTCCGTCCCGATGACAGCTATACCCCCGAGGGTGTCTACTGGGCCGATCTGCCTCTGGGACAGCGATTCAAGTTCGTCAACAAGGTCGAAAGTACCGAGGCGCGCAGAGAGTTGGGCAATCTCGGTAGAATGATCAAGGCCGATCCTCTCTCGCCCGTTACCTTCTACTTCAAAAACATGGTTTTGCCTGGTGCTGGTCTGCTCTTGGAAGGGTAAGACCAGCTTTTACTACAAATTGCGTTGCAACCAACTAATATCATTTAGTTACGTCTTGTTCTCCGTCAGCAATGTCCAGTCGCTTTTGTCCGCCGCGTTCCCCGACTGCTGGAAAAATCACACAACTTGCAATGCCCAGTGGATTAACTCCTTGACCTATTTGGAAATTGCTGGTATCATGGTTGGTCAGGTTCTTGTTGGTTATCTCGGTGATATGTACGTTGCCTTCTTTGTGCTATTAAATGACTTTTCAATACTGACGAAAGCAGGATCGGTCGTCGCTGGGGTCTTATTCAAGATGCCACCATCATGTTTGTCGGTCTTCTCATGCTTACTGCCGCGTACGGTGTCACCGAGAACGGCTGGGTCATCTGCTATGCCTGGTCTCTCTTCTTCTACAGTATCGGTGTTGGTGGTGAATACCCTATGACTGCCACCTCCGGTATGGAAAACGCCGTCGGTTCCGGCCGAGTCTCTACTCGCGAGGATCGTCTCCACCGTGGTCGCAAGGTCGTCAGTGCCTTCTTGATGCAGGGCTGGGGTCAGCTCCTCAACCAGGGTCTCCTCATTGTTCTTCTGTTGATCTTCCACCACGGCTCCGGCAGCCCTCCTTACTCCAAGGTCGCTGCTCAGTGGACCTACCGTGTGTCATTCGCTATCCCCGCCGCCGGAACTCTCTGGCTCACCTACTACCGTACATACCATATGAAGGCCGCCTCCAAGCAACTCCAAGCCATCAAGAAGAAGGCTTCCGTTACTGGATACGATGTCGAATCTTTCCGTCTTACCTTGAAGTACTTCGGTCCTCGTCTCTTTGCCACCAGTTTCGGTTGGTTCGCCAACGATATCTTCTTCTACGGTAACAAGCTCTTCCAGAGTCAATTTATTACCGTCATCCTACCCCATGAGTCGTCAATCATGCCCAACTGGTTGTACAACCTGCTGAACATCGGTGTCTCTCTTGTTGGCTACTACCTTGCTTCTTTCCTCATCGACAACAAGTTCTATGGACGTAAATGGATGCAACAGATTGGTTTCTTGATGTGCTTTGTTCTCTTCGTCGTTCCCGGTTTCCACTACAAGTACTACACCTCCAAGGAGCACATCAAGGAATTCCAGGCCATGTACTTCTTGTCCTCTTTCTTCAACCAGTTCGGTCCTAATTGTGTTACCTTCTTGGTTGCCGCCGAATGTTTCCCTGCTCCCATCCGTGCCTCTGCCCACGGTTTCTCCGCTGCTATGGGTAAGCTCGGTGCTTTGATTGCCGCCATCGTCTCCTCCTACACCACCGTCCAGCAACGTTTCTACATCTGGCCCTGGTTCGGTCTCGCTGGTATGCTCGTCACCTTCTTGTGGCTTCCGGACACCACCGGTCTTGACCTCAAGGAGCAAGAACGCCGCTGGTGGTACATTCGTAATGGCCGTGAGCACGAATATCATGGTGTTGCCATCCACCCCCAGCACTTGTCTGTCTGGGAGCGCCTCCGCGGTGCTGGCAAGTACTACGATGCCGAGCTCGACTACAAGCAGAAGGTTGAGGACTACCGTCAGGAGTGGGAGAGCGGTATTGCTCGCAAGAACTCTAACGAAGATGGTGAGATTGATGTCGACGCGGAAGAGGCTCTCTTCGAGGGTGCCGTTCACAACTACTTTGAGCGCACCAGCCCCATGTTCCGTGGCACTGAGAAGCTTGGTGGTCAGCAGAAGTTCTCCAGCTTGCCTCCTGCCGCTCAATCTATCGAGAGTGACGAGACTGAGGCTGCTGCTCCTGTTACTGAGAAGTAGATTACTTGCCTCTCACTGTGTCTACTATCCTCCATCTACTAATTACACGGTTTAATCTAATCATCGAGATAGAAATGCATTTTTCTATTCGCTGTTTCCTCCGACTTTTCCTATCTCCTCTTCTTGTACTCCTCTTTCCTCTTTGTGTGCATATACCACTTTGAATTGACAGCAAAGATAGACTTTACTCTTTACTTTTTGATCAAGTCGCTTCCTGTTTCGCTGACGAGTCATGGGAACGATTGATTGATTGTATGGAACTTATGTAAATATTTATATGGATACCCGCGAAATGCATTAGTTTCATACCTAATTCTCACTGCTTTTGAGAAGATTGATTGCTCCTAGGTTCTCTCTTTGCTTTAGATCAGATCGATGCTCGGATGTCGATAACATTGGAAACATACCTACTGCCAGGAGGAGTACTTTGATTGATAATAACCTAACTCGATCCAATAACTCGAATATATTTTCAGCGAAACCTGACCATTCAGAAGTCACTTCGCCAAGCGGACACTTGTGTTATCTTCATTGGTTTTGTTAAGTTTTCAGAGATAATATTCTATCTCTGTACTATTTCGGCCAACGGACTTAGGGCTTTTTTGCCTGCCTTTACTCAATTCGGAAAGGTAATAAGATAGGACCTATATTGCAACAGTCCATTCTTAATGATGGTTTTATTTGAGCACTGATTGTTCAGAGATTTTCACATCTTAACTCGAAAATGGAAATGACTTTTCACTTCTGATGGTATTGATATTATTAATCTCGACAGCACATGGCTGATTTCCTTGGTAACACACAAAGCACGCAAATATGCGGCACATCGTAGGACTGACAGGATGGTCACTACGTGGTAAAACATGATCTCATTAATGGCATGAACCGTATCCCGTGGGAATTCGTGTATGGGTGCTTCTGCTCTGAAGACTCCACATTTCCAACATCTTCTCTCAAATTCGGGCCTGCGGTCTGTCCTCCACATATCAGGAACGTGCTCTTTCAATAGAATAGACATGACGGTGCGACGGAACTCGCCGCTGACCCAAAGGGAGGAGCATCCTACTTTGATTCTGACTGAACTTTCTCAACAACCTTCAAGACATGCTGGTAAAGGGGGTGATCGGTCTCAAGGCCGGTGATCTGCTGAGTAGCCTCGGCTGCAGATTTTTCCTTGAGAATTTTGGCAAGTTCCTTGCTCTCATCATCTCCCTCGACATTCTGGAACTGAAGAGCTTTCTCGATAGATCCGAGCAAGGCGTCAAATTTCAAGCCACGTTCGGCCAATTGGGCAGCCGGTCCAATGAATCGCTCCTTGCGAGAAAGCTTGCGCAATGGGGCACGACCGACACGCTCGACAACATCCTCAAGATAGTGGTTGGAGATACGCTCAACAATCTTGTCAACATATTCCTTCTGCTCCTCATCGGTAATATCATGCTTGCTGACAATCAAGGTCGCAGTTTCGTCCAAAGCTGCGTGGACGGCCTTGTGGATGGTCTGATCGGCTAGAGCATCGTGGATGGTCTTCTTGCCAGCCTGATAGCCATAGTAGGCGGCAGTTGCGTGGCCAGTATTGACAGTGAAGAGCTTGCGCTCAATATAAGGCTCAAGATGGTCGACCCAGTGGATGGCAGAAATGTCTGGATGACCGTATTCTCCAAATGGAGTCTTTTCAACCACCCACTCGTAGTACTTCTCGATACGAACGTTGAGGCCTGCGTGTTCGGGCTGAGTAGGGACAATGCGATCGATAGCAGAGTTGGCGAAGCGAGCGCGTTTGGGAAGAGTTTCGAGACGGGACTTGTCGAGGTGTTCTTCGATGTGACCGCGAAGAGTATCAGTTGCATTGATGGCGTTCTCGCAAGCGATGATAGCAATGGGACGCTCCACTTCACGGGCGTCAATACCCTTGGCAATGACGGGGGCAATGAATTTTAGGATGTTTGGTCCAACGGCACAGGTGACGACGTCAGCAGTAGCAATTTCCTTGACAACCTCTGGTTCTTGAGTCTTGGAGCTCAGAGCACGGTAGTTGGTGATGGTCTTGGTCTTTTCGCCCTCCTCGCTGATCTCAGTGACCTCGTAGGTCTTGTTGCTGTTCAACGAGTCGATGACCTGTGGCACGACATCGACGAAGACAACCTCGTAGCCAGACTCATGCAGGAACTCAGCAACGAAGCCACGGCCAATGTTGCCGCCGCCGAACTGAATTGCTTTTTTACCCATGTTGGGAAGTGATGAACCGAGCTAATGCGCGTGTTACAGATGGAAAGGAATGAAGTGTGGAGAGACAATAAGCTTTTCTGTAGAGAGGTCGTTGAGAGCTTCGCGTGAAGTATGCAGAGAGGTGCTTGCAGGATGAAGTTTGAAGGAAAGGAGAGGATGGTTGAGATTAAAGGAAAAGGAAGAAGAAAAAAAGCGATGGAGAGAGAGAGAGAGAAAGTTGAGGTTGTTTATGGAAAGGGAAGGAGGGGCAACCAAGTGACACAAAGCTGGCCAGGACGTGCCTTCACCCAGAGCAACCGCCTTCGCGCCTGCCAAACGGGAAACGATGTCATCGCGGGGTCTTCCGTCATACCTTGTTTGTGCTCCACCAACCACACTAGCTCTCTTCGCATACAATCACTACAAAGTACACTGATCCTCTCTCATATACTCCGTACTTAAGTAAGCACTTAGGTATACCTTACTCGTTTGATACTACAATACCTCATTCAGAAGCGATATCCCGACATCAGAGCCATCAATCCCTGTGCGAGACGCCCGGATCCTCCCCATTCAGTTGTGTCCCCTCGGTGAAGGTATCACATGCGAATCAGAACGCTCAACCGTGCCCGCCAAGGACTGGAGTAGTCCGACCCTGCGATACAACAGAGAAAAATACTATGTAGACACAAAGCTGCCTGGATGGGCAATCGTTCGTTTGTTGCGCAAAATTATCGGGAGATTGCGGGGGCGGGGCTGGCTGTTATCTACGGAGCACAGTATACCTGACTCTGTTTATGCTGGCCTTTTCTCCGGAGACTCCAAACGCTTGTTCAAGAGATGCGTTCTGTCTGGATATCTAGTCTTTGACCAAGGATATCCCTGAGGTTAATCCGAACCGTGACGTGCAGGTTACATAGAAGATGATTCGGGATGAATCCAGTCCAACCGTGACTTAATGGTTACGGCGGTACCAATGATGTGATACATTGTTCTAGCAATCCTTACCAGTTATTTAGTTCCTAAAACGATGCGACTACCATTAATTACGAATTAGACACAGACTCGGAAAGATGTCGAATTATTTTCAGTTTCTGAAAAGTTCCGTGTTGGGACAAATTACCGCAAATAAATACCTCAGATGCTATACAAGCTAGACCGGCTTGCAGTCAAAAATCACTCAGTTCACCGAGGTGCCATTATCGACCAGTAGCATACGAAACTAGGCCACCACGCATATACCCGCAATACTGGCACAATCCCGATTATTATCGCTTTGGCTGGTCGACTTGAGTACCTAACATTGAAACATAGTTTAGTCGTACATGGGCTTACTTCTACTGTTTGCTGAAGTCGCTTCATGGCAAATTGAGCCGAGTGCGCAGGCAATGGTTGGAATCAGATATATTCACATATAAACAACCTAGTACTGGATTGCTGTCTACACATCCTCGATTTCCTTTTCTGAAACAGCTGAGCCTCCAGAGGCTGGTATTGTGATTACATTGATAACAATTGTGAGGAACGAGAGTACCACGGCAGACCATGTCATACCAAGGAATCTGCTTCCCCCTTTGGCAACTATTCCATAGTCTTGACCATGTCGGTTGATGAGGTTCACAAACTGAACAGCAATCACCGACGCTACGGATGACGAGACCCCTAGACAAACAAAGCCGAGCTATACGCCATACGTTAAACTTGAAGACAGGTCAGACGATTCTAGATGGGTGGCTTACCACAACAAAGAACAAATGCGCGAACATGGATGACTTTCCTCCAGCTTGCGTGAGGAGAAAATCCATGAGAAATGCGACTCCTGTCGCTGCCACCCCAATGATATACAGCACTGACATGGCCTTGGTAGTCATTTCCATGACTTCAAAGTCATCGTTGATACTATCTGGCCAATTGATGTCCGATATGTTGAATCCCGCCTTGAACTCCGCAGAGAACACGCTTATCGGATCGAATGCAAACGGAGCTTTGCGTTTTGAACAGCCCGTAACATTCATTCCGCCCTGGCCGCCATTTATAAAATTTCCTTCACAATATGTCAAAACGTGTATGGCATAGAACTCCTTTAAACCCAGATCGGCTGTCGTGCTGTTTACCGCTGATTGGATTGCTGAAGTAGGTTGAGATGCTGACGTATCGAGCTATCCGTACCGAAAGTCAAGTGTCAGTATTTGATTCGATCAATAGTTACTTTCAAGAATACAAACCAACATAACACTCGCATTCCGCAAGACCGATTTCTGTGACCCAGCAAACAGACACAGCATACTGAGAATGAATGATATCAAGGCAAAGACCTTGGATACCGTATTTAGTGTGAAGATCATATTTGCCTGGTTCCCCAAGCACTGAGCGTAGAACGGCCCAGCAACTGTCGATATCGATGTCGATGAGTAAAAAGGTGAATATATTCAGACAGTGTAGCTTCAGGTTCGAGTATAGTGTAGGTACGAGCGAGCATCAATTCTAAAACCTTCAAAAGGAGGTTGTAGGAAAGAGGCACGAGCAACATTTTATTGCATCTGCCCCATTTCCTTCCAACAGAAACATCCACATTGTCAATGACAGGCACGTCCGGATCTGGGACATCATCCAGTAAGCTTCGATTAATTTTGACTCAAGGCTATATGCGTCAGATGAGTATGTCGAGTTTCAAATGTAGAGGGGGAAAGCCTCCAGCCTGGCGGAGGCATGTTCTTCATCGTCATCGTGAAGTTTGTTTATCTGAACGTCTGATTGGCTGGATTTTGAAGTGGAGCGTAATTTGTCCAATGATAGCGGATAGTCCCAGCCATCGACGAGAACCCGAGCCCCACTTAGGGCTGGGGATGAGGGCTGAGGAATGTCTGCCACTTCCTGGCACCTCACTTGCTCTACGAAAGTCATTCATTCAAGGGTGAAGCTTGGGTGACTGATAGTATTGCTTGTTAGAAACTTGTAAACCTCTACAGTTGCATAGGAAATGAACAAGGAACAGTCAATTATGGCCAATCCAGGCCATACCCCCACCCCATAAATCATTTTTTTCCAAAGTGATCAATTGACTGAATAATAGAGCAGAAGAAAAAGTAAGAAGAATATATTAATCTAATTTTCACGCTTCGGCCTCAACCTCAACCTCTGCGCCCCCATTGACGGCTGTCTCAGCCTCTCCATTCTCAGCGTCAATATCAATCAGAGACTCTGAGGATGGTGGCTCAGGTGGCCCTTCCTTCTCAAGTCTTAGATATTCGTCCCATTCGGGGAAGAGGTCATCGTCAGCTTCGACGCCCTCAGCACCGGGGGGAACACCGATCAGACGCGCAACCTTGGCTTTGCCGGATTGTTCCAAGGATTCTTTCCATTGGACGACAAGCTTGGGCGCTTTAGAGGGTTTGTAGGTTTGCGCGAAGAGGACTGCTTCGGCGATACGGTTGGTTGAGACTAAGAGGTCGATGCAGGCGTCGATGTCGCCGATGGTCCAGAGGGCGGAGAACGCGACGTTGTGTAGGCCAGCGACGGAGGCTTGGTCGGCGAGGGATCGGAGCCCATCTGCGTTGCGGCTAGAGGTGTAGAGAAGGAGGAGTGAGCCGAGGTCCTTGGCGTGGGTGAAGCATTCTTGCGCAAGACTCAAGTCCCAGGCGGTCAGGGCTGCGTCACCGACGGTCTTCCATTTGTGCTCGACGTCAGCTTCGCGAGCGAGTTCGAGGGCAATGTCAAGACGGCTGAGGGAAAGAGCAAGATCGAAACGGTGTTCGGAATCTGGCGAGACCTCAAGAGCGAGCTCCTTGAATCCTTGACCTTCCAGGAAGCGAGCGACCTTGTTCATTTGATCGCGGGGGATGTCAGCCAGTAATTCGGCAGCAGAGTCCATATCACCTCGGAGAACCAAAGTCTGGTACTCTACTACTGACAGCGAAAGCGCAAAAGACACGATTTCAGCATCTTTATCGGCGAGGTAAATACGTCCATCACGAGGCAAGTAGCCAAGGATATACATGGCCTGGTCGAAGTGTGAGATGGTGTAAGTCTGATCACCGACCAAGTAGTTCAAGCGGTTGGTTGAGTTTGTGTAGATGAAACAATCACCAACCCATTCACCGGTCCGGACAGTTTCGCTGATGTCGGTGACGACCTCGAATGCGGACTCAACACCATCTTCGTCGGCTTCTCCAGAATTTAGACCATTGACGTAATTCTCTCGCGAGAACCGAAGGATATAGCAAGTATCCTCACAGGCAAGAGCGACGAGCTCGCCAGATTCAGACCAGTAAACCTGTAACGATTAGCGTGTACGGATAAAGAGGGCGCTTGGCAGACTTACCTCGCGTGGTTCAACCTCAATACGGCGAACGAGATTGCCTGTCTCCCAGTCAAACAAACCAATACCACCCTGCCCCTTGACGCCTAGAAGAACACCACCAGAAAGTCCTTCTGCTTGGAAACCGACATCAAGTCCTTCCTTCTGTTCCTTGAAATTCTTGAAAATCTTGACGCTCGTTGCAGACTCCCGAATAGCATAATCGTTACTGTTGTCCCTGGAGCCCCATGCGAAATCTAAAGCTTGACCGAACGCCTTGTTACGCCATGCAAGTGCTGTGTAGATAATGTATTCACCGTCACCGCACACAGAGACGAAACGACCATTTGGAGAATGAGCAAGGGTCTGGGGGTAGATTTCGCACGAGCCCAAGTCCTTGGTAGGCAAAGCGAGAGGAGCACCATCCTTCAACTCATCGCCTCTGATGACTGTCGAGACGACCTCGGTGTGTCGTGAATAAATGACTTTTCCGGAACCATCCATGGAAACAGCTGGTTCCTCCCGACCCATCTTGACGACGACAGCACCATCATCGAAACCCATCGCAATACCCTGTCGACCTCGTTGGTAGCTAACACACCATGCTCGCTCAAGTCCATAATTGAGCGATTGCTCCAATCTGTACGTGTTGGCATGCCAGACTTTGACTGTGCCGTCTTCGGATCCGGAAATAATGACCGGAAGTTCAGGGTGGTAGCATGCAAAGGAAACGTTGCTAGTATGTCCTTCCAGGGTCGCGATCAATGCCTTGGTAGTGTAGTCCCACACTTTTACAGTCTTGTCGTCAGAAGTCGTTAAAAGGTAGGGTTTATCGGCTTGTCCGTAGTAGTCGACACTATTCACACCTTTCGTTTCTACAAGCTTGTTAGTGCTGACTAGTACACCGAAAGTGTATTAGAAAACGTACCATGCGCTTCAAGAGTGTAGTTTGCATGTCCCGAGCCAAGGTTCCAGATCTTGACTGTCCGATCTAAACAAGCAGATGCAAATGTGTTTGTGTCCTTGGGGTTGATAGCAAGTCCCATAACATAATGGCTATGGCCTTCAAAGACCTGCACACATTTCCAGCCTTTCTCCCAATCCCATAGCTTAATGGTCATATCATCTGAGGCGGTAAGAACGAAAGGCTGGGTAGGGTGAACAACTATCGATCGGATATAGTCAGGGTGAGCCTCGAAGGATGTGATTTTCTCTGATGTGTTGTAGTTGTAAACTCGCAATTGGAAGTCATCGCTACCGCAAACAATCCAGTTCTTTCGGGCGATGAAACGACCGGCGCGGACGGGTACGTCGGTGAGTTCGAATGTTTTGATGATCGACTAGAAGACATCAATCGTTAACCTTTGTATTGGTAGAGTTGAAGTGTCGAGAGCAAGTGTCATACCTGAGTTTCGTACGACCAGATGTAGACGTGTCCTGAAATGGTCAGTATGAAATACCAATTGGTTTTTCCTATAATAATAGCTTACCGCTGTACAAAGTCGTCAAAATCTGTAGATATGTTAGACAGCGATCAGTCGCAGATAGGGGTCGTACTTACCCATGGCTCTGTCGGATGGAAGTCGATACCCTTTACCCGCTCGGAGCGAGCAAAGAGTTGTCTCTGTGAGAACAATTGGTTAGTTATTTTTTTCTAAGTCACGCTTTCGTGTATACGAGGCTTCGATGCGTCATATCCAAGTCGATTATCCTCTTCAAACTAAACGCACCTTGATATCGAGCCGCATGTTGCTTGTTTGTTGGTATGCTGAGGGGGTGGGATGTGCCCGTGAGGACGGGCTCGTTCAGAGCGAAATAGCACCAGGATATGTTTTGTCGCGGTAAATCTGCACAGTGAATATCTGAACTCGTGGGTATGTCAACACTGATAGGCAGCAGTGTCGCGGAGCTTTTGTTGTATGCGGTGCGGTATTGATGTGATCGCGGAGCATTAATGTGTCCAGTTCGGAGTGGGCTGTCTTAAAGGGGTTTAGTGCGCCCACCCATGAGTCGGTCATGACTTTGGGCATTGTGTATGCTTTAATGTTATTAAATGAATACAATGTTTCTGTTCATAGCTTTCAACCAATATAAGAATAATGGATGACTACCTGTGAGTGTATCATGCCAACAACCTATCAACATTCAGTCTACTGCTAACACATTCGTTGAAGACCAGAAAGGCATAAATTGATCTTGTCTAAACAAATAAAAGCTTATAAATACATCTATACTCAATCTTTGGCGCAATCAAGGCTTTCCAGGAGTATGTGTGTCGCGAGAGAAATATGTCCATTGTCCGGGCTTGGGCTTCTCAGCAAGCTCCTCCCACCTTTAAATACATTAGCAATGGCAAAGACATACTCGAGGAATTGAAAACTCACACTTGGGCCTTAGCCAACTCATCTACAAGACTGAGCTCGCCCTCAGCCACTTGAATGACTTCCTCGATGAGACCGGCACCGATTTTGTTTTCGATTTCCGCAATTCTACAGTATATTAGTCCAATGCACCAGAGGCCAACCGAACTTCTACATGACTTACTGTTCTGCTTCCAATGAAGGCTCACTTTCCCAGTTGATAGTCTCTGCGTGGAAATCTGAAGCGCTTTCAGGCTGGCTGGCCTCTTCGATAATTGCTTCCCATTGCGCGACTTCCTCTGGTGTCCTCAAAGGTCCTTCGGTGATAGGTCCAACTGCTCCGTCCCATTCTTGTGCCTTGGTGCCGCCGTAGATATCATCCTGCTGGATTCCTGCAAAGGTGCCATTTGCCAATCGAGCTTTTGCGAATTGTTCGGGGTTCTCGGCGACAACTTTCTTAACGCGCTGAAGCCATTCGTCAAAACCGGGGGGTTTGGAGGCTTCGACGATTTGAAGGCGGTGGCGGGTGAGAGCTTCTACGGACTGGCGATAGGCGGAAGACTCTGGGAATTGTTTAAGCTTCTCGAGTGTCTGGGTGTAAAGGAAGATGAGCGTGGAGCGAGGACTGGGGTGTGTGACAAGCCCGGTCAGACCGGTGGGAGCAAAAGGCTCCAAGTACCGGGCTGGCTTGACATTGGCGAATAATCTGAGAGCTGGCCTCATATTGAGACGGCGCAATTGAGCGGAATATATGAATTGGTGTCAATTCCGCAGCTGAGAAGCGCAATTGTAGGTTGAATCGTCGCTTGGCGAGCAGCTTTGGCGGAGGTCGTTGACAGAAGTCGTGCCAGCCGGAGCGGATAAACTAGTCTGGGTTTGGCGCCACGCCCAAAAGGGACAGATCGCCCCGTCCTCCAAGTTTCCTCCAGGAGTGCCACCTCCATTGCTTGTCCATGTTATACATCATCCTACCACTCATCTTGGAACGTCCCTGGCCACGGACTACGGCCTGTGGAATACTCGAGTAATAACCTATACAATTTTCTATACCTTCTTTCCGATTATTTCCTCCTTGCATACACCGAACTCCCGCCGTTAGTCCTTATCAATGCGCCGATCTTGACAGCTCGCCTGGAACGCAGATGTACTAAGCACCTTGACGATCCTTTTCTTTGAGGAAGATTTCCTTTCAGTCACTCGCTTGTGACACCGCCACCATGAAGTCGTCTTTGCTGGCGTGGTCGCTTTTTTCACTCGCTATAGTCCCTTCCTTCGCTACGAACCTCTACAAAAGACAAGAGGAAACAGACCAGGTTGAAGATGAGCCCACCAGCACCATCTTCAATGGCATCGAAGTCCCACCAGAGCTGGAGTTGAATCCAGACAACTTCAAGTCTACTATCTCAGATGGCTATTGGTACGTTTTCAGCCCTAATAACGTTATTGTTCAATTTACTTTCTCAATGGACAAGCTAACAGTCGATAAATAGGCTTGTGAAGCATTTCTCGCCGTCCTGCCCACACTGCCAAGCTATCGCGCCTACATGGCAAACATTATATGAATTCTACTATGTAAGAAATTCCGAGAATAATCTTCCGCGCTCAAATCTGACGTGCCACAGACCTCCGATCCTCTTTCAACCTCCTCGGCCAAATCGCCCGATACCCAATCCTCATTGAATTCATTTACAGGATATTATGATTTTCATTTTGCAGAGATGAACTGCATGGCGTATCGAGATCTGTGTGTGCAGTTGGATGTCAAATTTTATCCTACATTCTCTCTTTATCACGATGGTGAACTGGTAGAGCAATACTCCGGCAAAAAGGATATGCAGGGATTGAGCAATTTTATCGAAGAAAGGTTGGAGCAAATACGCCCTGGATCTCGTCCTGCCAATGGAGTCAAACTGCCTGAACCCGGAGATCATAGTGTGGATGTCAATGAAGAACCAGACGTGCCTCAAGCGAAAGACAAAGATCCTGCCGCTGGCGCCAAAGCCGCCGAGAATCATAACGAAAAGGTATCCCAATTGACCGAGGCAGATGAGAAGGCAACGAAGCCCGCTCCTAAGACCTCTAAGACAACCGAAGAGAAACCCTCGATTGTCTACAATCCTCAAGGAACCTCGGTTCCACTAACAGCTGAGAGCTTTCAGAAGTTTGTCACAAGAACGCGCGATCCCTGGTTCGTCAAGTTCTATGCTCCATGGTGCCATCATTGTCAGGCTCTTGCGCCTCCCTGGTTGACAATGGCGAAAGAGATGAAGGGCAAGCTTAATGTTGGCGAAGTCAACTGCGATGTTGAAAAGCGGCTTTGCAAAGATGCTGGTGTTAAAGGATACCCCACCATGTTGTTCTTCAAAGGGGGAGAGAAGGTCGAATATGAAGGTCTTCGCGGAGTGGGCGATTTGATCAGCTACGCCCAGACAGCAGTGGACACTGGCGCTGGCGTCAAGTATGTTAATGCATCAACGTTCAAGGAAATGGAGGAAACTGGCGACGTCATCTTCCTTTACTTCTTCGACAAAGCAACCACTTCCGAGGACTTTGCAGCTTTGGAGCAGCTGGCTCTACCTTTGGTTGGACATGCTCGACTCGTCAAGACCGACAGTGAAATCCTCGCAGATAGATTCAAGATTTCTACATGGCCTCGCTTACTCGTTGTCAGAGACGGACGGCCAACATACTTCAATGCTTTGGCTCCATATGACATGAGAGACAACCCTCGAGTCTTGGAGTGGATGCGAAGCCACTGGCTTCCGATTGTACCAGAGCTCACAGCATCTAATGCAAAGGAGATTATGCAGAACAAATATGTCGTTCTTGGTATCCTCAGCCACAAGCGATCCGATGAGTTCCGACTCGGCCAGGCCGAACTGAAGAACGCTGCTTTGGAATGGATGGACAAGCAAACCCAGTTATTCCGTTTGGAGAGACAGGAACTCCGAGATTCTAAACAATTGCGCATCGAGGAGGCCGAGGATCGTGATGACCAGCGAGCTCTACGCGCGGCAAAGAGCATGCACATCAACATTCGAGAGGAAGACAAGAAACAAGTCGCTTTTGCCTGGGTTGATGGTGACTTCTGGGACCGCTGGTTGCGTACTACCTACGGAATTGACGTGAAGGACGGTGAGCGAGTCATCATCAACGATGAAGACGTAAGTGACCTATACTCAGAATGAGAAGTATCTTTACTAACCTGTCCACAGAACCGACGATACTGGGACTCCACCAGCAGCGGTGCCCACATCATGCCATCCCGAACATCAATTCTCGAGACCATCCCTTTGGTAATCAGCGACCCACCAAAGCTTCGATCCAGATCTACAATCGGATTTTTCGAAGCCACATTCTTCCATACTCGGTCCTTCATCGTCAACCACCCTGTATGGTCAGCCATCATCCTCGTCATCACCTCCGTCGCCGCATACATCGCGCATCGCAGGAGAGTCTTGCGACGAGGAGCTTCAGGTTATGGAGGTCCTACCAGTGGCGGTATCCTCGGATACGGAACCGGTACTGGTGGTACTAGTGGTGGTGGTTTCTTCCGTCTTGATGGTAAGGAAGGAGTATTGAATGGAGGATCAGCTGGCAAGGTGGATTGATTAATGACGAATCATACACGGTGTTTTTGGTCTTACTATTTATTATGTAACTTTTCTATTCTATTATAAGATTCTTTGTGTACTATGCTTTTTGGCTTTCTTAAAGGGTTCTTTGCGACTGTGCATTCCTGATTGTATGAAATACTGATAAGTAACCTTTTTTCATTTTTTCCCACTGACGTCTTCTGTTCCTGCTTGTCCTCTACTGTCAGGTCTACTGGATATCGTCTACTCAGGTAACAATGGTCACACAAAAGAGCTGACAGGAAGAGGCTTATGATAATTGCAACGCAGATCGATTATGATGGTATCAAATATTACTTATACGAGGAAATTTCCTCATTTCATCCCTCTTATGCACCTATTAGAAGCATCTCTCGAGAAGTTTCAAGCAACGGCATCTTTACTATCAGCACCATCCTTAGAGACAGTGACAGCAGTATCATCCTCCTTCTCGCCCTCCTCCTGAAGAGGAGGCACACCCGTAACATCTTCAATGTACAAAGAATGCTCAACATTAACCTTGGGACCCTTGAACCAGTTCTTCGCATCAACCACCCACCAAATCGAAACCGCCAACATAGGCGCGCCATATACCAGGCACGTCCAATTCATCAAATCAGCCGTCAAATCATTACCCGTCACACTCGGCAGACACAGGATAGGTAACATGACGAACACAAACATCGCACCCGTCGCACCGATGGGTTTACTCATTTTCCCCAAATTCCAAGGCCCCGGTTTAAATCTGTCGCCCACAATAAAGACGCGGATCGCGATGGGGATTGCGAAGGCAATGAACTGAGCAATTGCGCCGATACTGAATAGGGCGCCGATTGCGACGGTGCCGCCGAAAATTAACAGACACATTAGGATGCCGAGTACGCCGTTGAGGATGACTGCGTTGACTGGTGTTTGCGTGCGGTTGTTTACTTGTTTCCATAAGCCTGAGAGCGGGAAGCAGTCGTCGCGGGCGTAGGCGTATGTAACGCGGGAGGCGGCGATCATGCATCCCTGGCCCATGGAGAAGCCGCAGACGATGGTCAGCGCCAGGATTGCCATGGCAGTCTTCTGCGGCAGTACCTGTAGCAAGTAAGAGGCCCATGGCTGACCGAGGTCAGAGCCGATTACGGAATCGATGTCGGTCACGGTGTAGGCGACGACGAGCTGCAGGAACCAGCCAAACAGACCGCCGACTGCGGATGTCATTGTGATGGCACGCGGGGACGCGATATTGGCGTTGGAGCATTCCTCTGATAGATGGAAGGGGGAGTCGTAGCCTGACATGGTCCAGATGACGCCTACAAAGGACATGAGAATGGCAACACCGTCCGGGTAATCGGTACCGTTGTAGATTGTGCCCCAGACATCAGCCGCAGAGGTGAATTTGGGACTGTTACTGGTCGCTGCTGGGATCGTGATGATGGTAATGAACAATGCGATAATGTTGAACGTTGAGCCCCACGAGTTGAATGTTGCGATCCATTTGGTAGGCATACTGCTGATGACGGTGTGAATGATGAGGATGAGCACGGTGAGCAGATACGTCTGCCAGGTTGTGGGGACGTAATCCGGGTTTGCGATGCTGCCTGCAGCGAGAATCATGGCGGCCAATGCATAGTCGACCGATGGAGCAGCTGTCACTTGCCCAATCCAGTTTGACCAGCCTGTGATCCAGGCCGCAAAGGGGCCGTAGCCGGGGGGCGCGAGAACTGCTGCTGCATAATATAAACCACCACTATACAACCATAGAATTAGTACGCGGTTGGCAGTTTTGTGAACGATACAGCATACCTCGTCGGCATAGCAGAACACAACTCCGCCATAGCCATAGCAACACACTGGATGAAAACCATGGCAATTAACCAACCCCAAACCATACCACCGGTACCTGCATACCCCATGCCATAGTACAACGTACTCGCAAATGACGGCAAAAGCCCCAACACAGCGAAACTGACGCAGAAAGTCGTCCACAGAGAAAACTCGCGCTTGAATTCCTGCTTGTAACCCAATGCTACCAAGACCGCATCGTCAGAGGCGAGGGCATGATCGGTTATGGGCACGTCGCCGTCGGGGAGGACTGATGTGACCTGTGCATGGTCGACGTCGCGATACTTCTTTGGTGATGTTGATTCTTCGGTAGCTGACATGTTGTATTTGCATTCATTTGTTAATGTTGTCTTGTCGGGGAGAGATAAGGTATAAGACGCCTCTCGGGTTTGGATATATAGAAGCGCTGCTCTCAACAATGTCCGCGCATTTCATTCATCAAACGCGATTCATCTCACTTTATAATTAAGTAATCGATGATAGCAATCAGTACCTCATCAAATATATCTGATCGCCTCCGCAACGCTAGTATGTGTCGGGAATGTTCATGCGAGCAACCATCCTAAATGACAGCCACCAGAGATAAGGGTCGCAGACTAGCCTCGGGGTATACCACAAGTTCTGGTGCTAGGGAACGTCAAGGCGCAACCCCATGCATGGCATACGTCGGTACGTACTAGTATCTACCGTAGTACTGCCAGTGACTGGAGAGATACAACGGGGAGATTGTCCTTTTGTCTGGATGAGCTAGAGAATCCTCCATGGTTGGTGCCATTGGTTACACAGGCTGGAGTACCACGCGGTTTGACATGGAATCAGTAGTCTTCTATCGTAGAATGAAGATGATGTATTGATAATTCGCCATAGTCATAGACAAGAGCTACATGAAACATAGCGCATCTCATCTGGGAGCTGATTCGAGAACTGGAGGTGCTAACTCGCAATGGCAGCTGTAGTTGGGTTGTGTAGGAAGGATAGGATCTCCCCGTCTCCACAGATAAACAGAGGTCTTATCAGAGCCAACTTTAGTGTACTTCATAGTATGTCCACAGATAAGCCGCCAAGGAGCCACCCTGACTCTCCGTTTCAAGGCACAAATCAGAGCTCATACTCGCTTTGTGCCACGCTTGAAGTTTCCCTCATGGGTTAAGTGTATGAACATGGTCCGATCAGTGACCAGAAAGGGTTACTGGGGTGTTGTTTCTCGACTGAGCTTCGATGCGCCGCATCAGTTGACATAGGACCATGTCACCATGTGGCATGGCCTTTGTATGTGCCTACATATGCAATGCGAGAGTCGGTACTCGATATTTAATAGTGGAGATATCTGTACGTTCGCAGCTCGGAGACATGGACCAATGATCGCACACAAAGGAAATAGGCAGTTGATGTTCTATATGCTATCAAGGTTTGTTTGTATTCTACAGAAGCGGAACCATCTAGTTGACTTGGGTCCCTTCGCAATCTGCTCACACGCTTTGTTCCACCATTCGGTGGTACAATTCGTTCAAAAAAGATGTACGCGTTTAGAAGGGCTGTTCATAGGGTTAGAAAGATGCGAACGAGACAAGAGCACGTCACGGTAGGGAACTTACGCTGTCCTCAGGAGGAACGGTGCGGTCCAAGTACTTGTCGAAGAAAGGAAGTTTCTGGAGAATATCTTTCCTGACACGAGGAACTTCACCGAAGAAGAAGACGGCGAAAAGACCGGCGGCAACACCAAATCCGCCAGCAATGGTGCCACTATCACGAATATCGATCAGTATGGCTCTTGACTTGTGAGATTTCAGCGTAACCATGGTGTAACTTACGCCTTGGTGAGCTTAGGGAGGGTTATGCCATGCCAGTGAGTAGCAACGGTGTATCTGGTGATGTCAACGTCAGTCCAGTCCACACATTCAGTCGCCACGTCAAAGTCTTGATCGGGTTGAGCATTTGCGATCTTTAAATTCCATGCACCGTGTTCCTACTCCACACACTTTTTGCTATATCCAACTGAAAGACGTGGCGCAATGATCGATCGGTGTACTCACTGAGGTCCGTAGGGGGATCGGTACGGAGGGCTGTATGAAGCTCTCTTGAGCAGATTCTGAGTGAGGGGGGTGTTGTAGACAGGCTATAAGGAACAAGAAATCAGCATTGTAACCAGTCAATTACAGAATCCCAATCCCCATCCATGAGTGCTGAAAGTATGCCGAGAAGTGTAAAGACGTCTGATGCTGTCATCAACCGAACTTCCGGTTGACAACTCTCTCCATTGCCGCTTGGCAGTGGCATATTCCATTCACCTCACAATCTCTCAGGAGCGCAACGTACCATTTTGACGTTCTTGAACGACAATTGACGATATCAAAAGTGGTCTGGATAGCGAACGAACCTCGAAGTGCCATCGAACGAAAACCGGAACTCATCACGGAATCGCGGGTGAATTAGTGGGCTATTCCTGTTTGGGAATAGTTATCTCTTATTGTACCACGTGATCTGACAGGCTGATACAATGTTACAAAAATCGACTTCATTTCTTCTGATCTATAAGTCAATTTCTTGGTTGATTGATGATGATAGCTGCAAAGCCAACTATAATGGCTTCTACGGCTTTATACAAATTTTCAACTATCTGACATCACAAAGTCCAAGATGTCAACAAAACAAGCCTCCTTGCGCCGCCGTTTAGCCTGCGATCGATGCCATTCATTTAAATTAAAGTGTCCAAGACCATCTCCCAGGAACGATGATACATGTACTAGATGTCTCAAAGCCAGGGTCAACTGTTCATACAGTCCTTCAATGCGTGGCCAAGTTCGGCCAAAACATTTGCCGACGGTGACGACGTCTAGTAGTGTTATTCCTGTTGATAGTTTCAATAAGGGGTTTGACAGTGAGCTCACAATGCCGAATTTTGAAACAGATGGTATCTATACTTGAATTCCGTTAACGAAGTAAATGGCTGATAGCCAATAGATGACATGTTTGGAAGCATGACTATGGACTGGACTCTTCCTGATAACAACCTTTTGATTGATAACTTCAATTCTATATCTCAACCTCTACCTCCGGGAACAGATGAGAATAAAACAAGCAGTTCAGGCAGTGATATTCACTCTGCCCAGAATCATGCAGACATTAGGAATGATGGCAGCCTTAAGGACGATGAGATTCGGGTCTTTGAACACGAATCAATACAGAGACCTAAAAGATCTACCCATTATCTAGGCATCGATGTGCCAGACACACTACAGTCACCGAATGTCTTCCTGCAACTAACCAGCATGTCAATCACATTGGAATCTCTAGCACGACAACTGCCATCGTTCACGGTCCACAAACAAGCAATGAATGCCGAACCCGTACAGCCCGGAACCTCTGATCGAATTGGAGATATTGTTTCCGATGACGAGGTCAATTTCGGAGTTGGCAAGTCTTATGCCTTGACGCACAAGTTGGCCGATATCTACATACCACTAATAGAGCAGACACGACAACGAAAGGAACTCAGCGGCGGCGGCGTTCGAGAACTAGAAGGCAGGCCAATGGGATCGGTCGATTTTTCACTGCTATGGCTTCTATTCTCATGCCATAATCGCTTAATCGATCTATGGCACGCGATGTTGTCACACGCCAAGATGGTCCAAGACACAGACCGGTATTCTCCAGGTGCAGTTGGAGCACACAAAGCGCGATGCGCTCGCTTCAAGATGGGTTCTTATGAACCGTCGTCATCATCTACCGTTGTTGCCATGGAGATCATTGTGATACAGGAACTCGCGATGCATCTTGCAAGCAGACTTAATAGCCTTATTGAGGTTATGCAGCCTGATAGCACCGATAGATCTCCCACTATAGAAGACAATTTGCAAAGTCTCGAGGCGACTATCTTGACGGCAAAAGCACTCCATGAACGGGCCTTGGCTATGCGCGCGGAAATATCTCAGCTGAAGAGCATGTTGGAGGAATCAATTGCAAAAACTCTTCAATAAAGAAAGGGTGACTACTATGTTCAACAGATATATTCAAGCCATAGGATCATGGCATGATTAGTGCGGGGGATATCGATGTTTTCAAACGGCAGACATGTGATTGGAGGAACATCAATAGCATCCCACACTATTATAGTCTCTGCACAGTCATCAATCACCTGCACCAGGTGACTTGACTAAGATACTCGGGTCATCGCCTAGCACAGTCTGGACCGATTCATCCCGAGTATGTTCTGAGTCCCTGGACGGTGGGAAGTATGTATCGGCTTTCCGGATGAGTCTAAGTACGATGTACAGATGCACTTCTAGAAGCACACTGCAGATGACTGACAACCACGCCCTATAGACGTCTGACATATAATAAATATCTGCTAGGGCTCATGTTCTACAGAAACATGTAAAATGAAAAATAATTATTTAAGATAATATTGAAATAATATAAAATAGTCGACGTCATCGCCATACTTCCAAGTTCCCCACAGCCAACGCTCAGCGGGAGACTTCGGGATTCCGCCTCAATCTATCGCCTATCACACCTCCACCATTAACCATCACTAGTCAACCGCCAACGCACTTGACTCGGCCTTGGTTTCTTGTTTTGAAGCCTCGGTCTGATTTCGTTCACAACTACAACAACTTCATAGAAATAGACATCACGACTACATCGCCTGGCGCGATTCAACGACCATTTCGACACTTTATCGATTTCGACCAAATACCACAGCGCAGGCGACCTACCGAATGTCACAGTCAGACCCCTCCAAAATGTCGACGAATCGCCCATTCCTGGCGAATTTCCTCGCCGCATTCAGAGCACAATCAGCCTTCAAGGCACCCTCCGCGGCTGGATCGCAGACTTCCTCACAAATAACCTCGGGTGCGCGAGCGATAGCCACCAAGGCGACATCATCATCTTCATCATCGACGTCGACTCTTTCACCGTCATCCTCATCACAAAATGCAACTACATCAGCAAATCCGTCAACAACTACGACAACGTCGTCGCAAACTCAACAACATCMCCATCCACATCATCGATCACATCACCATCACCACCACCMCCCTCCACATCACAGGCCTTCGCCGTCCACAACACGCCCACAATCACATAGCCGGACCCCGGCAACAAGTCCTACTACAGCAACAGCAGAAAGCACATCACCCACATCACCATCACCGGGTTCAGGTCCCATTCCAATCGTATACAACCACGACCGCCGACGTCGTGGCAGCGACAGTTCAAGCGGGTCGGGCGGGTTCCGGGACGCTTTGGGCCATGAGAAGTGGTACATAGGCGGGAGAAGCGCGACGGGCGAAGAGCGGTTCTATAGACTGGGGATGGTGACGAAGGCTGGTGGACGGATAGGGGCGACCGGAAGGGTTGGGAGCGTTGATCAACTTAGTTTGTAAACAGAACGAAGGGAACAAGTTGAGGGGCTTTTACGGATGGAAAGAAAGAAAAAATGCTACGAAGTGCCACGACTATTGAATGGGAATACAATGACTCGGAGCCTTGGAAGGCAGTCGACCAAGAACCAGCTGAGGGTTTTCTCGATATCACCTCCACCGTATACCCACCCATCTAGGACGGGAATCAAGATGACTACACTATCATCTTTCTCTTACCGAGTCGTTTAGACTGGTCTATTGTTGATCGAGTTGGCTTACGCGTGATGATCAATGCATCATAAAAAAATGATTCATGTATTCAAAATATTATCTTTGCAGTCAATCAAAATGATACCACATTACAGACTATCACGAGTTGTGTCAAACTCAACAACGCTTTCAGGGTTGAGAATTTTCCTAAAAATTTACATTCCCGTGGAAATGAGCTGCTGGAAATTGGTGTCCACCTCCCGAGTTATAGACCTGTCCAATATGATAGTGACCGGATTTGGCATTCTCCGTAGAAGGAGAGGAACTTGTGTTGCCGTACCTATTGTTCCCTCCACCTGGTTGTTGTTGCAGCTTTTGTTGCTGCTGCTGCTGATCTGCAAGATCTTTAGCAATTTCTTCTTTGATTTCATTTGACCATCTAACCAATTCCCCACACAGATCTCGAAATCCCTGATCCTCGCTACTTGCAAATTTAACCATGTCACGGTGATTTGCATGAATGCTGATGGGATGGTAACCTTTCAAGGTGGCAGAGTCCTTGGGCACAACTGTTCCAACCACAGACAGTCCCTGTTCTTCGTAAAAGCACGTCACTTTGATATTCCTGCCATTTGTGCGAGAACTTCCAATCAATGTGTAGAATTCATCTTGAATCTCTTTCAGCATTTCATTATCTCGATCTAGGATATCCAGTAGTTTTGTATTGGTAGACTTGATAATCCCAAGACATTTTGCTGGGATGGTTGCCCAGCGTGCCATCCAGGATCCCTCATGAGGGGTGCCCATGAAAATGATGGCTTTGGTGCACTCGTATATCCCACGAAGATGAGCTTCGCCGCTGTATTGTGAGAGTAAAAGTGCTTTCTTACAAACAAGACCCCCCAAACTGTGGGCCACAAATATCAAGGCGCGAGTTGGGGATTTGATGGAAGCTCTATCCGCCGTCAGAGCATTGACAAGGTTGCAAGCATGATCCTTCAGGCGGTTATTGCTAGCCACTGATCCGCGCACGACATAAGCATCATAGCCATAAGTCAGGATGCGAGCGTTGCGGATTTCAGATGGAAGGAGAGTCTTTGGCCACGGCTCGGATTGTCCCGCGGCCGTCCAGGTGCTTTCTCGATTTCCAGTCAGACCATGGACAAAGCATATGTCGACTGTGGCATCGGGACATTCATAAAGCACCTTGATTCCAATCGGGAATGGAATAGGCGCCGAAGAGCCCTCGGTGGACTGCCGATTGTCACCACTACTCTCTGAAGGGGTGGCTGGTGATCGAGAAGATCGTTGGAATCCTTTCCACGCCATCCTAGAGCGTACTTTCGGTATTTCAAGAAGTTTCTTGGAAAAATGGCTACTCTTGCGAAAGTGAGAATACTGCGTGAGCTTGAACATCATGAATTTTGCCAGGGAATTCTGTAGTTTTTATGCTTGAACAGCGAACAACCTTGGAACTAGATTTGCTGCATCAGTGTTGCGGATTTTGACTTTGGAATACCTACGTTAGACAAGGCTGACATTGTGGTATATCGCTCTCGCTCTCTGACTGGTGGTGTCCATTTTTTCAGCGGATGGTTGCCGTACAGTAGTACAGGATATCAATAATTCGGAGAGAATCCATATCTACTGGGTCACGACACAGGGCCTGATGAAAGGTCAATTGCAACCTGAACCGAGTCGTGTTTACGGTTTCACGAGGCTGAGCAGCGCTTGATTATGTCCATTGGCCCGTAGACCATGGAGGAGGATGCTACACAGGCCATGAGATACCGTGTATGTCGTTCTGTTAACTTCGGCGGCGGGAGCCTACTGATCGTACACCGTAAAGCACATTGGATGTCTTCCCACTCGAATTACGGGAATTCACTGTTGACATTGAGATTGTGCTGCGACTAGTATACCATCGCTTAGAGATAGCTTGGTCGTACCTTCCTTTCTTGGACAATCGACAAGGGCAGGAGCCGGAGAGCCGGAGAACTAGCAAGAAGGATCGGACAAAGAAGAAGATAGGAGAGATATGAAAGGCTACGGGGAGTTATAATGATATCGGAACTCTCATCGACACTTACCTACCTAGGTAGGTACCATTGAACTGGAAATAAGTAATCACATTCTTAGGGCTGTGATGTATGGGTTGACTTTCTGAAATTTCGACGTCCTAATATGGTAATACCACAGCAGAAAGCATTCGATTCTTCAAAAGATCCCCTGACAATCCTTTTTTGTATTGTGTCTGGTTAAGGCTGTTAGCATAGCTGCAAGATAAAGAACACATGTCATTATTCCAAGATGGTGCAGCTTTCATTCTCTACCTATGCCTGTACTTTGACGAACAGTATTGTCACGGTTCTTAACAGCTTCACTCAAAGGTGTCAAAAGACAATGCTAATTACTGATCTCTACCAACTGTTTGTGATAGCATCTCCAGATTCGCGGCAGAAAGAGTAGTAGCATCATCTTCGCACCTGCCTGTAATGTGCACTGCACACTGTCAGTATGGAGCATATCTTTGTACGGCAGGCTCTTTGCCTGATATTGTCGTTTTCTACCTCAATGGGTTCCTTAGACTATATAATCGCCAGGACTAGCAAATCAGTCTCTCCATCATCATCATCATCATCATCATCATCAAACCTGACAGAACACAACCTCTCTTGTTGCGCTTCTACACGACACAATGGATCTTAGCAAAGTCCTACCAAGCAGCTCAGATCCAGAGCATCAACACACCGAGCCAAAGGGAGATCCCAACATCAAACTAGGTAAGAGTATGCTAATTCAATACAGCAATTTCTGTGGAAGTGTATACATGGGTAAGTAATAATCCCCGTCGATAATATGTATCTTGATAATTAAACTCGCCTTATGTGCAGGTCAACCTTCCAGTACATTGAATGCATGCAAACAATCTTTGAGCTTTCCAGAATTGTACAGTCGCTACTACGGCATTACATTCACTTCTGAGAATGCTACATGTATGTGGTTACCTGGTTGTAAAGAGTACGTAACATGGCGAGAAGATGGCGGCCTACTTTGGATCAAGGGAAAGCCTGCCTCAGGAAAATCCACTCTGATGCGATATGTTGTCAAGAACCTGGAACCTACAGGCGAACGGACAGGAAGTCAGCACGGAAGTACCAGCAACCAGAACGAAGACTTAGATGGAAAGAATCAAGAAATTAAAGGAAGCATCACCCTTTCGTTTTTTGCTCATGGCCATGGCTCTTCACTGCAAAGGACGATGCTTGGCTTTTACCGAACAGTTCTCTTTCAACTCCTCGAGGAGCAATCAATCCGTGAAGAGAAAATTAAAGCGCTGTCAAACCTTGAAGAACTTTTCAAGCGCCAATGCGATTCTAGAGGACCGCCAGGGGACGGTTGGCAATGGGAGCTGTCACAACTAGCCCAACACTTTCAGCTTGTACTCACCGAGGTCTTAAAGGACCACCTGGTGTATCTGTACGTTGACGCGTTGGATGAATGCGGCGAAGATACTGCCAGACGCCTAGCAGAGACCTTTGAGAAAATGATACAACAAGCTCCCTTCAGACGATATGAGAGAACGATCGACTCATCCACTGGCGAAGAGAGAGAAGAATCCGTTGGCAGAAGACTTCATATCTGCTGTAGTTGTCGAAATTATCCGTTGTTGATCAAAGCAACGGAGAAGAATACCGTTCATATATGTGTTGAGCACCATAATAAACACAGTATCCAATCTTATGTTTGGTCTCATCTTGATGAAAGTTTCAACGCAGATATTTCGAGAACAATTATCGATCGTTCTGATGGTGTTTTCATGTGGGTGTATCTCGTGGTAGAGCGTGTGAAGACTCTATACTCAAAAGGATATTCCAAAAGAGAAATTGAAGGCAGTATAGATAAAACTCCTCGGGACTTGGAGAAGTTGTACGAAGATCTCTTGCAAAGCATGCTCGGCAATAAGGACTCACTACGACTGGTTTATTGGGTCTCTTACGCTATGTTGAGTTCGGAGGAACTGCGTTGGGTCTTGTTTCTTGAGGCCAATCCATCGGTCAAGTCGTTGGAAGACTACAAAAAGGCTCGTACTTTAACATGTTATTGTGTCGATCTCAAAGGAAAATGTACCTGCAATATGATGGAAAGAAGAATACAGAGTATGGGCTATGGCTTCGTCGAAATTAGAGAATCGAACGGCAAGGAGGTTGTGCAATTTGTTCATCAGTCCGTCTACGAATTCTTTCTCGAGAACGATGCCTTGCTGAGACTATACAACAGTACATCAACCCCAAATCTCAAAAACCACCACCAAGTCGTCAAGAAAGTGAAGAAATTGATGGCTGAAACACGTGCCAGATACAACAGAATGATGGAACTTGTTGGACGCAACTCGTCGCTTAGTCTCACAGACGGAGTATGGGAGTAGAGCACGCTTGCGTACGACTGCAGACTTTTGCCAAAAAGAAAGATTACCTTTTTCTGCATTACGCAGTGATGTCCAAAGCAAAGAATGAAGAAGAAATGGAGTGTCCAGCTGCTTATGCTCTCTTGCATAAAGAATCCACTCCGCACAAAGCAGTGAGCGGTATGTAATGGCGCGAACTACTGGGGAATGATAGCTAGCAATCTCAATACTACAATTTCGGGTTTAATACAGATATCGCATTCAATTAAATACTTAGCATGATACTAAATAACAGAACCCACATCCCGCATCACCTGGCAGATTGAGATGGAGATAGGGCTGGGCACAGCACGTGGGAGCACAGTGTGGAAACACCAAGGGCTCCTCTTTTCTCTCTTTAAGGTTCCCGAGGTCGATGGAGACCCTATACCGTCTCGTCCTAACTAAGTTATGGAGTCTGGTCGTACAGACTCCAGAGTAAACGGGGTACTCCACCATGATCCCCCCCCTCCGGAGAATATGGAGATAGTATCCATCTGCACCACGCGCCTACCCCATGTGATGATAGAGGTGTTCGGTTGAGATGTCTAAAACCCACATCAATGTTAATGGATAAACCCATCCCATCCCGCCCTCCACTCTCCTGTCCTCCACTGCAGCTAGACGTGTACGCCCGTATGTACTTCCGCCTCCCAGAAGAAGCAAATAACTGGTGTGTATGTAGGTACCCAGTTTGGCCCCAGTCTGTTAGTTTGCGGGGATCTCGAGCCCATCCCATACACCTGCCGTCCGTAGTGTAGGTTTTAAAATCGCTAAGGATCCAGTTTATTGATGTCCATTACTATTTTCCGGCGTCCACGAGGTTTGTGGGTATGTAGTTTAATTCAGCCCTAATTAACCATAATGTATGTACTTCAAGAGTTCTAAGACACAAGAATAGAATAGATAGAATCAATCACATGATAATTTTTTACGAAGCCTACGTAAGCAATTCTCTACTAAATTAACCTTTCCGCGAAGGATTCTCAACTGCGACTCTGTACTATCGAAGTAACTCCCTCACTACTGTAGTTAGTAACGGCTGAAAGCGGAAATGCATTCTCGCGGGCGCTGTACACTCAACATTTCAATGTGTTGGTTGGTTATGGTGACGTGTTTTATTTTAGTCACTCGAGTACCTCGTGACTACTAATTAACTAACTTACAGAGATGTTCATTGAATAATAATTAATAATTCATTTTGTAATTCAAAATATCCAATAGTCAAACACCGATGATACCACATATTTCTCAGGAGTACTACGTCGTAACAATCTCGGAACGCATTCCGTTCTCCAGCCCCCTATACAACAAAACCCTCGCCGCTATAAGCCGGCTTTGAACGAAATCGGACGTGAATAAACTTCGGAATGAAACGGTCATTTTTTCTTCAAGGTTTTTTTTCTTGGTTTTTCTTTTTGCTTTAGTGTTAGTGGTTTTTGGCGTTCCATGGTTGCGCGAGACGAAGAGGCGAAGTTGAAACTTCGAAGGGAAAAGTTTGTTCCCAGGTCCATGGGTCTGTTTGGTTTGGATTCAGATTTTTTTTTTCTTCTAGATTCTTGTGATGGCTTGATTCAGTTAGAAGACTCTGACAGTTGCGTAGTCGGTGCATAGTGGCAAGCTGCAAGCCGCAAGATTGATAATCAAATAATCAATCGTACATAGTAATCCAGGAGTACTAACTACGGAGGAATTAGTAGTGTATGCAAATCGGCAACTTTGCCGGTGTACGTAACACGCATACATAAACTTTACCGTACGGCTAAACCAACTGCCGACGAGAAGCGAAACCTTTCAATCTATTTTTTCATCGGCTTTCTGGTCCTCGTGCCGAGTCTTGTATTTACAGCTACACCGCAGACACACCGTATGAATATTTTTGGACGAAAAGTTCTGTAGGCGGAGCTTATTCTTCTTTTGGTTGCGATTCTGCGGCGGTGCACTGGACTAGGAAGTCGGTCCATGATCTTGGGCCGGATACGGAAGCCGATGGATATGGCATGTTTTCGGCTTGACTGTTCGTATACGTATGCATATTTAGGTAATAAGTGTTCAGTAATCCTCGAATGTGAGTAGCGACAGGGATCAAACCCTTGTCCATAGTTGTCTTATCATATTCATGAAATAGACCGTTCATAGCTCCGTACGTAGTTGTGTTTCGTTCTTCGTCGAGGTTATGGCATACAGATTGGCGGGTCCTGATCGCCAAGCGATATCTCGCGCTATCCCCAAAGAGGTATTTGTAGGCGTCCACCTCATTCCATCTTGCCCAATCAGACCGGACAGACTAGGGTGCGAGTCTACGTCGATGCGCAAATATGTCTGCATGTCTGAATTGATAGCTGACAGGTCATATTCTATATTGGTAGTGGAACGTAGAAGATACGATACTTGAAGGGCCGCTTCAGCCTGCTTGAGCGTACTGTGGGTAGTGGATATGCGGCAGGTCCACAATAGAAGCGGGAGAAGCCTCAAAGGAAGCTTGAAGCTTTGCGACTTTAGCCTCCTGTTCTGTTCCTTGAAGTCTCCAGTGCGGGACGATGGGTCTGACATCTGAGATTATCTGATACAGTCCAGATGATCAGAATCAATTGAGCAGAGGATCGCATGGAGTGTTCTTTGTCATGTACGTAATCGAATACGAATGAAGATAAATCGGAATGGCCGACAATCGACATTCATCCCCTTCTCGATCGAACATGCCGAACACTTGCTGTGGTTGTAGTCCAAGGTGCGTGCAGAAAACGAGAGGAAAAAAAATGGCTCAATCACATGACGCCTCCTCCGGCCGCGCGGATCCGTTCTTCCCTTTTGGTACTCCGGCTGCTTGCCTAGCATTGTTAGCAATCCTTGTCATAGTTTCACATAGGCTGCGATGTTATGATTCTCATATCATACATAGTACGTAGCTAACCTGCCCTTTTGGTACGTGAATGCATTAGTCTAAGATAAGTCAGGTCTAAGGAAAGACCCAAGCCGATGCCCGGCGGGTATCCCGACGGAGTACTCAATCTAATGATTGAGTACGTAGTCTACACAGCTTCAATTGTATACACTACTATGTATACATACAGACCGAGTAATGGTGATGGCGCGATCTTATCTTCTGCACAAAGTGGGACGAACGGTCCAGGAACCCGGTCGGGTGGCCTAAGGAATCCACTTTTGTCGACGGACGAGATGGAGCTTCTTGGAGGGGAGAATTTAAGCATACTTTTGGTGTAGTTCAAACCATATGATCTGACTTCTTGCAGATGCTAGATGGCCCACATGGCCGTTGATATCAAAATGAACCGTATCTTTGATTAGTAGAATTAACAATAGTACTGTGCATTCGGTTTGACGGAAATGGCACATTGTGTTCAATGTTCTGTAAGAGACAATGAATGACAGACACAAGGAGAACTCCGGCGACAGGATCTCGATGGTGCCGAGGCCAGAGTATTGCCTACCTGGGCAGTAGTAGTCAGACTCGAAAATCAGTCACATTTACTTGGACGTCTCTGATTTGCCAGGTCTAGCCAGCCACTCTGACTTGGACAGACTTAACCAACTAGTACGACCAACAAAGGACGAACTCAATCAATAATGATAGTATTTATGTTGACTTTTACTACGTAGTCTTGTCAACTTGAGATACCGCCTCACTGTCTACAAAGTAGCAGTCAGGTATTCGTGCGTGCAGTTGTCGGCCTGATATACGTTGTGGTACTTCTTTGTTTGTTGTTGTCTTGTACTAAATGCTTACACAGTGTTTGTATAGCATTACGTACGTGTGTGTATCATGGTGTTGCCGGGCGGCATGTTCCGATTGGAAGATTGTTACTTCCTTTTCCGATTGTTGGCATTCTCCCTTGTCTTCGGTCTTTGGTCTTTCGTCTTTCTGTCTGACTGCTTTCCCTGTCGTTTCTGCAAGAACCTTGGAAGCGATTCTCGTGTTGATTGAGCAGCAAATGGTAATGTGGTAGTCAGCATGATGTGTGTATAATTACGTAGTCCGAAATAGACATCCAAGTCTGACCGTTTAGATTTCCCTGTTTTTGGACAGCACTCACCGGCACGCACTTCGTCCTAAAACACACGGTGCTCCTTACTGTTCCGGGAGGGGGGCCCCCTTTTTTGCGTCATGTCGCCAATCAACGACGCTAAATTCGAAACGGMGCTTACGTAAGCGCGCATATCATTGGGCGATGCAAAAACATATCGGATGATCCTCGGAAATGCTTGTGAGAGACAACCCGAGTGTGCATCGTGAGATTGTCTTCATTTTCTTAGTGCTCACGTTTACAATATCATCTATCGGTCGATGTGCTCAGTCAATCAGTTGTCAGACAGACTCATAGCAAAAGCAACGACATGACTATATAAAAATAAAACATAAACTGTAAAATAGAAAATATAAAATACACAAGGGAGACGGATATACACTCGGCATTGCTCCCGGCACTCAGCGAATCACTGGAGCCGAATCAGGCAGTCGACGTAGGTGTTCCTGATTCGGCTCTCTCGCCGCTTTATTTTTCTGTTCTCGCCTCCCACTCTGACTTTTCGCTGTCCCAAATCTCGGCCTCGCCCTCCCTTTTCTTCTTCCTCTCTCTCTACCTGCCTTTCTCAGCAAGAGTCACCTCTACATACATAGTTGACCATTACAATACACTTGAGTCTACTGACTAGGACACTTCCGGAATTGCACTCACGCCACTCCTTTGTGTTTGTCAAGTGTTAAATTCTGTGACTCTTTCCTCCTAGAATACTCTCTCTACACGTCTTCTGCCCTCACCACCTCCCTCAATATCCCACTCAACGGCTCGCTGCCGAACACATCCACATCAAGGTTCCAACAGAAAAAAGAAATCAACAGACCCTGGTCAGATTGCGCGTGTGGCTTGACGCGAAATCGAATCCGTTCGCTTCATCCAGCATTTGCCAGACCCACCACAGCGTCCCTTGGTGGAGCCCAACTTGGCCGGTCGCGGATAAAG